GAGTCCACAGCTTTGAAAGTTGACTCAAGTTTCTATGTGATACTGAATATTCTACAACACTGCCAGAAGCTATCGGAGATCTGAGAGGGAGCTTTACCCATTATGTTATAATAAGCTTTTGAATGGGCCAACAACAGGGTTTAGGTTGAGAGGCTATTCCTCCAGTTTCTTTACATAAATAATCTACTTAGCTTTTTAGTTTTCTTTTTCGTTTCTTCTAAAAATAAAACATTTTGTGATAAAATATATATATATTGAAAAATGTACTTTATTTCAGCAGAAATTTAACCACCTACCATATGAGCCTCTGTGCTAGGCACATAATGCAACTAAAAAATGTTCATGTCTAGTTTTTGTGTTTAATAGACAATGCTGCAGATGCCATACGGTAGCTACAGATGTAGTAATGGAAGAGGAAGGTCAAGAAAATAAGGTCAAGGATATCCAGGCCTTTTGGAATTAGAAGGTCATTAGTGTCTAAATTCCATCAATGGCATTTCAGTCTACAGGCAAACTTCCTAGAAGTTGGAACTGGAGACAGTTTACTCATCTGATTATTCTACTTTCCCAACTGACATTAGGATAGAACTTCGTGAAATACATTCAGTGTAAACGAGTTTGTTAACTTCAATCTTTTGTACTAAAAGTGTCTAGAGATGGAAAAAAATAACATGCGTGAGCAGATTGATAGTGGTAGTGTGCGTGGAAAAGGAGTGGTTGGATTATAAGAATTTAGCCATGTTTCTCCTCTGTATCTAGAAACACTGGTCTATGTCTGCACAGCTTCTTGGCAGTTTTATCCCTATAGCAGAGAGGGGAAAAAACTGCCCTGTGGCCTGGTTAACACTGTCACTGTGATGAACATACAGTAGTCCATTAGGGACACTGCAAAAAAAAAAAAAGTGAAATTGATCTAATCAATTGCCGAGAAAGTCCACCAACAACTGTTCTGCACAATCTAGACCCCTATGTTATGTGCCATTAATGGAAGAGATCATTGGCTAGATGAGGAGAATTGGACGATAGAAAGACTGAACCTTACTTGGAATAATCAGCAAAGTTTCCTAAAGAAAGAAAAATTAGCTATGTTTCAGGGAAGACCTTAAAATACTATTTAGAATTTTGCTTCAGTCACACTTGGGAGTGCTTGCTGAGCTTACAATTTTTCCTTTTTCAAGGACAGCGTTATTTCTTTTTTGGCAATTCACAGTGTGGACCTCTAGTAGCTGTACCTACATCATGAGACTCCAGGCTAGTGATTACAACAAATCCAGGCAGGAGTCATTTGAGATCTGTCCCAGAGGTCTGAGCAAGAACAGAGATACTGGCAGCTGGCATACCTCTAGAGAGATCCACAGACTCTTGGTGCTGAGATTGTGTTTTAGAGTCATATTGGTCTAATCTAGGTGGTGGCTCCTAGTCACTCTGACCACACTATGCTTATTTGTACATGTTCTTCACAAAGCATATAAGCAACATACAGAAGCTTATGAGATGAAAACATTCAAAAGGAGAAGAAATAGAAAGCTAAATTTATTGCTGTGACTAAAATTCTAGGAAACTTGTCGTTCTAATATGCTGCCAAAACTCCTAAATTGCAGTTTACTTGAAAATTTTCTTTACCTAGAAAATGAATCATGAACACATACTTTGTTTTGCTTCAATAAAGCTTTGATATAATCCTAGATAGCCAAACCTCCCCAAATTCACAATCTTTCCAAACACAGTGAGTCAGCTCTCTGCCATGTACTTGAAAGTATTTATCAAACACTTCTGAAACTCAACTCTTGTTGTTTTTTTAAAAATTATTTTTAACTGAAGTACATCTTTTAGCTTTCTTTCAGCCATATTGTGCAAGAGGTAAATAAATTCTCTCTGAGGAGATCTTTACATGCACATTTAACTGGGTATAGAATTTGAGGTTGACCGTTCATTTGTCTCAGTACTTTGACAACATTATTGCATTGTTTATGACCTCATTTGGCTAACTGTTGATCCTTAGTTGATAACTTGTCTTATTGTTTTTAAGTATTCCCTCTCTTCACTTTCTCCTCTCTCATATTTGCAGAACTCATCACAAAAATGTTAGTTGTTAGATTTTTGTTTTTAACTCTGGACACATTATCTTTTTTCTTAATCTGAGGGCCCATAACTTCAACTCTGGATAATTTTCATCCATCTTATCTTTGAAAATTTCTCTTATTTATTCCGTTTATTTTCCTTATTATAAAATGCCTATTAGACATGTACTGGACACCTCATTCTGTCTTTCATGTCTTTTAATTTGTCTTCAGTACTTTTCCATCTTGTTCTGTCTTTGCACTATATAATTTCTTCAGTTATAATTCTGGGTTTTCTTCTCAGCTGTGCCTAATCTGCTATAAACCTTATCCATTAAAATTTTAATCTTAACAATTATTAGTAACTTTAAATATCTATAAGTTCTAATGGGTTATTTTCCTATTAGTCTTCCTTTTCATTGCTTCCTATCTTAACCAATTTATGTTACTTCTTTAATACTAATAGTCTCATTTTGTTTGCCTGCTGATTCTCTTTTATGGTGGACTTTTGATCATGAGTTTAGCTGCTGGGAGGAATATTTCTTTAACTCTGTTGGTTTGTGCCCTGATTCCTGGACATATCTCTGTAGAATTGTTTCTATCTTCTCTGTGGGGCTCCAGAGTAATAGTAATAGTAAGAGGAGGAAGAGGAGGAGGAAGAATAGGAAGAGTAGGATTATCATCAACAAGTAATGTTTTTTTGAGTTTTTATGATTTTCCAGGCATTGTTTTTTGAATTTTAATTATATCAATGAATTTAATTTCCACAGTAACCATACATACATACGTACATACATACACAATTATTATCTCGATTTTAAGGAGGGGGGTTAAATAGATTGTGCAAAGTCACACAACTAATGCATGGCAAAGCTAGAATTCAAACCCAAGTTTGGCTCCAGAATGCAACCAACTGCTATGATATTTGCTATGTTTCCAGACATGCTACTATGCAGGGAGAATAAATTAGGATCTTTCTCCTATGCCCTGTATCTGGCATGTTCTACATATGGTTGAGTTTTTCATTTTCTATATTTTTTTAATCCAGAGATTGGGCAAAGAATACACATCCTTGCTCTTCCTTGGGGGTATTGGTGGTTTTACTATTTCTATTTTGAGCACTGAGAAGTCCTGTGAAGCTTCTGGATTCATGCAGAGATATGAAATCCAGCTTCATAACCTGTCAAGTCTAGGTCACAAAGTTATTGAAACACCTCTTTGGACAGCTAGATTGCTGACATACCATTCTAGCCTTAATTTCTCTTTTCACTTTTAAGACCGGGGGATATTCCTTCCTTTCCTCTTTGTTTCTTCCGTTGTTTCTTGGTTTCTTTTCTTTACCTTTTTCTTATTTATTTTTAAAGTTTGGTTCTAGATCTGAACAACTTCTCCTCCTCCTCCTCCTCCTCCTTTTTTTCTTTCTTTCTTTCTTTCTTTCTTTCTTTCTTTCTTTCTTTCTTTCTTTCTTTCTTCTTCTTCTTCTTCTTCTTCTTCTTCTTCTTCTTCTTCCTCTTCCTCTTCTTCTTCCTTTTCTTCTTCTTCAATTTATTTTATCCACCATTTCAATGTACTTCTAGCCAGAGTTTGGGTACTTCATTATATTAGGTTGCCATTTATGGGGAAATCGTCAGGCTTAAATGAAGAAAATGACCTCCCAAGTAAAAATAAATCAGAGTAAATAAGTCAAGGAAGAGGAACAAAAAGCATATATAAGAAGCACTGGTACAAAGTAAAACTAATAAATTATAATCTAAATAATTTCTGATATTGTAGTTGTGAATTTTAGCTGTGTATGTGATATTGTAATTGTGTATTGTAGTTGTGAATTTTAATGCAGTTATAAGCAAAGTGAAAATTCCTGAAATAGATTCCTAAAATAGAGTACATAGAGTCTAAAACAACAAGAACATTAATAAAAACCTGAACTATATTCCAAGTGATTGAAAAGAAACAGAATTTTTGTTTGAATCACTGACCTAATATTGATACAAAAATTTAACAGTGTTTTTGAACTCCCCCCCCACCATGAGACCTTTAGAACATCTTTATTACCTTTGTTTTTGCCAACTTTTAATGTAAAGACATGTAACATTTCACTGTTGACTTTTTAAAAAATAGAACTAATTACCAAAAAAAGAAATATACGTATATAATACCATAGCTTAATTTTCAAAAAAAATTATCCTTTTTTTTTTCCAGAACAACTCTCAGCTTTATGATTATTAACATCTGTGGCTTGGGAGCCATGTCAAATATTTGAGATTTCCCAATTCATGGACTTTGGCTTCCTGTTTTGCCATTTACTTTGGCAGGTCAAGAAAAGCTTGCAACTTTTTACAGAGAGATAGACTACGCAATGGGAGTTGAATAAATTTTATATTTTTCCCAGTCTTTATGCAAAAAAAAAAATTGACCTGAATCTTTTTAATATTTTCTTTAGTCCTTGGCACTCTGCTTACTTTTAGTTTGTTCGCATGCCCTCTGAAATCCTACATCCTGTAAGAACAGAGCAGAGAAAGGAATTTGTTCATAATTATTCATTTGTCCAAATTAAGTGTTTCTCTAAGGCAGACTATGGATTGCTTAGCTTGATTAGGAAAAAAAAATCAGCTCCAGCACACTCTGCCCACTTAACACCAATTAGTCAAATATATCATTGGCAGTTGTGTTTAGGCATTAGTAGTAAAAAAATAATAAATAAATAAATAAATAGCTAAAGATTTCTCATACACATTTAACTACTTTGTTTGGTTAATGGCTGCTTTTACTTGTTTATTGCTCCGTTTCCCCATCTTGGTCTCATCATGTCCGACAGGCTAGTTCCAGTTTCCTTGTTTACCATTTTACCCCTTATCCCTGAAGTTGAAAGGCCAAGTGCACAAACACAGGGTTTGTTTTATTCCCAACCAACCACCGAACCATCATTTCCCTGCAAATAATTGGCTTAGGGAAGAAGAAGCAGAAAACAAAACAAGTTCATCATGTGCAGCTTGGTCTGACTACACACCCTTTCAGAAAACAGGCTGGGTAAGACACCCATTTAAGGAATAAATGAAGAAGTAGCAATAAGGAAATTTTAATTGTTGCCGTACACAAAAAGAGAACTGTGCTTTGACAGTGTTTCCAGAGTACTTTCCTAATTTTTCTGACAGTAAGTAAAGTTCTATTTTGTTGTGCTATGCCAAATATGTGGGTGGACACTGCTGAAAATCAATCTATTTTTCAGATGTTTCCAAATATTCATATGTATTATATTGAAGAACTGATAATAAAATTTTTCTGTCTATTCCCAACCAACTCTTATTGTGTAGATACAACAGTAGAATATAGGAAAACTAGCTGAGGGAGAATTGTCTGAATATTTTGTCATGCAAATATAAAATAATTTAATTCTAAGATTTGAAAAACTGAAAAAAATTGTCTCTGTTGGCTTATGTGCAAACATTTGGGCATAATTACTTTCCATGTGATTTCTTTCTTTCTTTTCCTCTTTCTTCTTTCTTTCTCTTCCTTTTCTTTCTTTCTGTTTCTTTGTTTCTTTCCTTCTTTATTCCTCCTTAGTTGGTTAGTTTGCCTCCTCAGTTATTCAGGCACTTCTGAATTCAGACAAATTGAGATGAGTTGTTTCTTCTTGTGTTTCATAATCAAGTTTCTGCTAGTTTGAGTCTGGATTCAGCTAGTTGAGCTTCAAGCTGTTCAGTTTAATCTAGAAGATAAATACTATAGGAAAATAGTTCATTGGGGTTACATCTAATGGATATAACTAATTATTCAAATGAATTTAAATAATCAGAATTTTTGATTAATTTGATTGGCTCTGGCATTTCTATTTAAATGCAAAGAACAAAAAATTATTATTAATCAAATGAGATATAATTCAATTACTCTATATAGTTGGATTTCTGTTACAAAAGGTTAAGAAAATGTGAAGTATCTTACAGGTTCTAAAATCTAATGATATCTTTTCCATTGTTAAATTCTGTATTTCTGTAAAATTGTGATTTTTGTGGCCACTACCTCCCCACCATTACCCACTCTCTGAAATAACTTACTATGAGTATATTTGATGTAAAATTTTGCAGTCATGTATTATTAAAATAATATTTAAAAACCATTTTTTGGGGATCCCTGGGTGGCGCAGCGGTTTGGCGCCTGCCTTTGGCCCAGGGCTCGATCCTGGAGACACGGGATCGAATCCCACATCGGGCTCCCGGTGCATGGAGCCTGCTTCTCCCTATGCCTGTGTCTCTGCCTCTCTCTCTCTCTGTGTGTGTGACTATCATAAATAAAAAAAATAAATAAATAAAAATTTATAAAAAAAAAAAAAACAAAAAACCATTTTTTGTAGTTCTTAGAAATCGGAAATATTTTCCCTAAATATGATCAAGATTTTTCTTTTTTCTTTTCTCCCCTACTTCCCAAGGTTTTTCTTATTACATTTATTGTTCTAGTTTATATTCCACTGTGTTTACTTTCTCTTTGTTTTTCAATGACAGGCTAAATGCATACAAAACAGAAAAGTGTGTATCAGCAAACTCAAGCACTTCTGTGCAAGAATTTTCTTCAGAAATGGAGAATGAAAAGAGAGAGCTTATTGGTATGTTTGAAAGTCTGCCTCTTTCTGCAGCTCACATATTTTTTTTTTATTTCACTGCCTAACGATACTCTTATTTTATATTTTAAGTAGCAGACTGGATTTCTTGATTTTCAGGTTCTTCTAATTATACTTGTCAAACTGAGAGACTCATAGCAGTCTGTGACACATAATGTAGAACTGCAAAAAGACTAAAACTATTACTCGTTTTTTTTAAAAAAAGAGAGTAAGTAAAAATTTAATTGTATGGTAAATTATAGCAACTATTAAGGTTGTTACCATATGTAATAAAATTAGAGTAAGGAAATAATGAAAAGAATGCCTGGAAGATCAATAAATTTTAGTTTGGGGACTTATTTTCAAAGACATGAATTTTGTACACAGAGATTATTTCTAAGAATTATGACCAAGTAACACCACTAATTGTCAGTTTGCATTAGGTAGATAAGTAGGCCATCTACAGCTCCAAATCTCAGGGGCTGACCTCAGCAAAGATTTATTTTTCACTTTGCTTACAATCTAAGGTTGGCAGTGAAACTGAAGTGGGTCTAGTAGGTGAAGGAATCTCCTTCACACAGCCATTCAGACCCAGCCTTCTTCATTTAGGGACACTGCTATCTCCCTAGGCCTTGGAGACCTCCTTGGGATCCTCTATATCCCATCAGATGATCAAGAAGTACAGGGGCATCTGGGAGGCTCTGTCATTTGAGCGTCCAATTCTTGGTTACAGCTTAGGTCATGACCTCAGGGTTGTGGGATTGAGCCCCATAGTAGGCTCCATGGTCAGGGGGAGTCTGTTGAGAATCTCTGTCTCCCTTTCTATCTGCCCCCTCCATGCTCTCTCTCTAAAATAAATAAATAGGGGGATCCCTGGGTGGCACAGCAGTTTGGCGCCTGCCTTTGGCCCAGGGCGTGATCCTGGAGACCTGGGATCAAATCCCACGTCGGGCTTCTGGTGCATGGAGCCTGCTTCTCCCTCTGCCTGTGTCTCTGCCTCTCTCTCTCTCCCTGTGTGACTGTCATAAATAAATACTTTTTTTAAAAAAAAAATAAATTAAATAAATAAATAAATAAATAAATAAATGATTTTAAAAAAATCAAGAAGTACAGGGACTGAGACAGAATAAAGAAGGTTGTGCATGGTTCCATAAGCCAGGCCTTGAAGGGGCGCAAAGCATTTCTGCCCACATTCCATCGGCTAGAACTCAAATCACTTGGTCCTACTTGATTTCCAGAGGCTAGGATTTTTGTCTAGCATTGTGCTGGATCACTAGGCAGTCTCTACCATTCAGTTCCTTTTCATATTATTTGATTTCCAATACAAAAATGTGACAACTGACGAAAACGTTATTTGCCACCATGAACTCTATCTGGGATACTCTGTGTCTTATAAACTGTAATGTCAGATGCCCATACATAAGAATTGTCATCCTATTAGTCACTCCGTTAGTTTCTATGATGGCTTCTGCAGTAGTTCACAATTTAATGCAAAAGTTTAATTCTAGTGTTGGAGAATGATATGTGTAGCAACTAGCTCAGTATGCATCTTTCGTTGGGTTCCTTTTGCTCTGAAGAGCAGAGAGCAAAGAGAAGCCAACCATGTGGCAAAATTGGAATCTGTCTTCAACAATTCTTTGGTATTGATTGAACTTTGTAAGGGAATATAATTTAAATTCATTCTTTTTTTCCCCCTATTATAGGAATGGGGGCTCCCAATACTTCTGGGACTGTACATGGGACTGTTTTCACATTTCAGAGAAAACATATATTTTCCTGAACTGCCTCCTCAAGATCTGGGAAGGGCAGATAACATTAGTAACTCTATAGATATTGTATATACACCTATCTCTGATCTAACCCAGCAAATAATGAATAAAACATCATTTGCTCCCTTTTTGAAAGGTAGGTGCACTAATGGCAATAAAGAATTACTGATATCATTTTATATCTTTTTGATACGATATATACATGTTTAATTTGAACTTACAGTGATCTATTGTGCTAATTATTTAGGTAACATGACAGCTTACAAATTTAATTAGTTTTTGCTTTCTCTCAAAACAAGTAGCCTTGTAAGCCCTTTCAGCTTGATTGGGGGTGGGGGGTCCAGTTTAGGGAGGTCTACATTTCTACTGGAATTTACCTAAAACAATAAATGTATAATTTCAGATTTGTAGAATAGTGTCTAGGAGAATATGTCATTTATGGGGTGCACATGTTATTAACATGGAAACACACTAAGATTGATAACTCAGGAAAAAACATCTAAATAAAATAAATGAAATCATGGTTATTAAAAAGTAATTTCAGAACCATGAAAAGTAAGGAAAGATAATCTAAAGATGTCCTTTCTGTGTGTAGTTTACTTTGTAAACATCTTTAAAAACTTTCATTCTAAATTAAGTCACTGTGCCACTGAGATAACTAAGATAAAATATGTATTTCACTCTTGGGCAAGGTGGCTGCAGTTTGGCTGTCTACTCTCTGAATCTTCTATTTCTAATGGGTAACATTGCTGGCTGTTAGAAATAGTCACTCCCTCATAAGGCAAAGATCAGTTGAGGTGTCTTTGCTCTAGTAATCTGACATCTGGAATCCCCTAACTATATAAAACTACTCCAATCACCTCTACTTTTGTATCCTAATTCTCTTATGCACACTTACCCTAGCATAATATTTTTATGTACCTGAAACTTGCTGTAATACTTGCCATTATTAAAAGAAAACACTAAATTCTCATGCATGTCTCCTGAGTCTAGAATCTAAACCATTAAAAAAAAATTCCCTCCTTGTCTTTGGGGCAAATTTAATTTAAGTGGAAAATGATTTTAGCTTAATTCCAGTGAAAAATATATGATGACACAGCTGGATATCACATTCCATTTTGGTAAAACTCTCTACAATCCTCTCTATTTTTACCTTGTCATTCACAGAAAGAAGGGTCATTGGAGTACCCAATCAGAAATCCATGGATAAAATACTTGTAGCCAATACCTCAAAAGTCATTGGAATCATCTTTCATGACACTTTCTCTTATAAATTAAAATTTTTACAGGGATATCACATTCCATTTTTGGAGGAAGATCCTTCCACAGGTGACTTTCAATATAAAATATCATGGTATTTTTCATGTTTCTAATGTAAGAAATAGGTCAGGTTGGGCAACAGAGATGTTTTTGATAGAACATGAGAAAATAGGGGCACCTGAGTAGCTCAGTCAAACACCTGTCTTTAGCTCAGGTCATGATCTCAGGATCTGGGATCCTGGGTCAAGCCTGCATCAAGCTCTAAGCTCAGCTTATTCTCCCTCTGCCCCTCCCCCCACTTTTGCTCCCACTCTATCTCAAAAAAAAAATAAAAAAAAAAGAACATGAGAAAATAAAGAAAGCACGTTTTATTGCTAAACTTATTCCAAGGTCAGTCATATCTTGCTACTAGAAGAAAACTCTTAAAGCATTATTGAGTCATCCAACAGAGGTAAAGTGAAAGCATAAGTGCATGTTGCAGAGGATGCAGAGAGTGATAAAGACTGAGAGATCCTAGCCTCAGATGAGGTTCCAGGTTAGCAAGAAAGGCAGACATTGTACAATTAATGACAAGTGCAGAAAGGGAGACAGAACATGAAGACTCCTAACTCTTGGAAAAGAACTAGGGGTGGTGGAAGGGGAGGAGGCAGGCGGGGGGTGGGAGTGAATGGGTGACGGGCACTGAGGGGGGCACTTGACGGGATGAGCACTGGGTGTTATTTTGTATGTTGGCAAATTGAACACCAATAAAAAATAAATTTGTTATTAAAAAAAATGACAAGTGCAAGGAAAGGTGCTGAGGGGTAAGAGATTTAGACGAGGGATTAGAGAAGCCCTAACCTGGCAAAGTGAAGTTTAAACCAATAAGGAATAGCACATGGGGGTGAGGGTTGCTAAAGACATTATATTTCAGATAGACAAAGAGCAAGAGTGAAAGAAAGTCCTGGGGTGACAACAGGCATCTGATGGTATATATGGAAGAAGAGCAGCTTAGCTGAACAAAGAATACAAAAAAGATGAGGCTGAAGTTACCCAAAGCTAGGTCCTATGACGTCCCACAAACCTAGAGTGATGGAGAGATGTGGAGGTACTTTAATCCGGGCAGAGAAATGATCAGACTCCCAAGCCTAAGTGAGCTCTCTGGATATAGCCCAGAGGATGAATTACAGAGAGGTCAAGGAGAATGCAATGAATCATACCAGGGAACCAATGGCGGCCTCGACCAGAGGCAGCTGAGGAGAGTGAGTGAATTTGAGGACATTTTAGGAAGCAGAATTGATATGATTAATAGAGTTGGTTCTTTTCCATTTTTTCACTGAGTGTCTACTCTGTGTCCTGCACTGTTCTGGCCCTGGGGATGGAAGTGAGCAAAACATAGAGCCTGCTTGCATGAATCATTCCAATCAGGGGCAGGGGGGCAGGGTAAAAACAATGCCCTCTGCCAGGTGGTGATAAAAGAACAAAGTAAAATAGAGAAGGCTTAGAAAATAGAGCCTGAAAGCTCTTTTAGTTGCTTTTATTTATGGTACCTGGTAAAGACCTCTGCACTGAATTCACTTTTGAGAAGAGATAAGGATAGAGGGAAGGAGAGAGCCATGGATCCATCTGCAGGGAGAGCATATGAGCAAAAAAAGTTCTAGCACTAGAGTGCATTTAGCATTTTGAGGCCCAGCAAGGAGTGCAATGTGGTCAGAGCAGAGTGTTTCCTCTCATCTTCTTTTGACTTTCTAAGACTTTCTATACATGCTATGGTCTCCATGAATAAAAGTGCCTAATTGAAAACTCATTTGCTTCTTTTTTTCTATGTGGCTATAAGTTCTGACTGGTGGAGCCTCCTCTATATTATTTTCTCTTCAATTCTTGTTTTTTTATTCTCTAATTGCTTTCATCTGATAATGTTGGTTATGCTTTTCCTTGTGCTTTTAGCTCATTGTTGGAATCAGTATGGTGAGTTTTCCTGTTCTCTGGCCAAATACTGGAGTAGTGGATTTGTGACTCTACAAACTGCAATTGATGCTTCTATTATACAGGTAAGAAAAGTTCTAATAATTAATGTAAACTAATTCCATAGGCATCAAAATTTTGATGAAAGATATATATTCAAGTTTTCATATGTTTATATAATGAAGCAGGTATACAAATGCTGCAGCTGGGTTTAGGCAAAGGAATGCATTGTTATTAACTTTGAATTTTCAAGTAGCTTCAGAATGACAGGAAATTGCAAAAACAATGTACACGGAGGTTCACGTGCCCCTCACCCAATTTCTCCTAAGAGTAATATCTTGCTTAACCACAGAACAATATTAAAATCAGGAAATTGATGTTGGTATAATCTCCATAGTTTATTCAGATTTAATCAGTTTCTAATTTTTAAATAATGATTTTATTTGTTTAAATCCTACTTCAGATCACAACAAATCACTCTGTGATGGAGGAATTGATGTCAGTTACTGGTATAAATATGAAGACTTTACCTTTTATTTATAAAAACATTCTTCAAAAGGAACTCTTTATTTTCTACTGCCTGCTTAACTTTCTTCCATTTATATATTTTATAACACTTAATGCCACAAAAGAGAGAAAAAAGTGCCAGGATATGATGAAAATGATGGGTCTGCAAAAGTCAGCCTTCTGGTGAGTGAGTGATTCAAGCAGTACAAACGAATAATCGAAACTATGAAGCAGTAAAAAAAAGTGTTATTATTTCAAAAAATTATGGGTTAAGTTTGATACATTGGCTACTTTTTCCTTTGTTCTGATTTTTTGATTTAGTCCTTTTAAAATTTTGCTATGAAAAATGGGGATTATAATTTGCTGAGCACTTTTTCCGTGCCATGAGTATATTAAGCTAATGCTGTGAGAGAGATTATTCTATTAAGATCAAAGAGAATAAAAGAATTGTCTAATGTCAGATGGATGATGTTTATGGACCAGAGCTGGGACTCCAACCCAGCTGCCTTGATTGCAATTCTCCTGCTAGGTCTTCCCACAGTTATCATTTGATTTCTCCACACTCCCTCATATTGAAAAAATGTATGATCCTATAATAGCTAGCTTGTGTACAGAGGTTTGATCATCAGGTATATATATTTTTGCAGCACTTAAATGCCATGTGTTGGAGTTGAGATAGCATATAAATTGTGCCCAGCACATATAGCACTTAGGATGGCATATAAGAAGGGCTTAATAAAAACATTTACTTCATATATTGATATATTTGTACCTTGCCTCATTCACAAATGATTTAAATTATTTTAATATTTTTTATCGTTTTATTTTTTTAAAAATATTTTATTTATTTGAGAGAGAGCGCGTGCACACACCAGCAGCAGAGAGGGGCAGAGGGAGAGGGAGAAACAGGATCCTGGCTGAGCAGGTCACCCATGGGACTTGATCCCAGGATCCCGGGATCATGACCTGAGCCAAAGTCAGATGCTTAACGGACTGAGCCACCCAGATGTCTCTAATGATTTTTAAATATATATATATATTTTTAAAAATGTATTTTTATGTATGTATGTCTCTATGTGTGTGTATTTGTATTATAATAAAAATAAATAATTGAGGAATAGAAACAAGGACTAACAAAATGATGAGTAGGTAAGACTAGCTGATAAAAATGCAAATCATAGAAACTCTAAGCTTCCAACAGGCCAAAGCAGAGAATTCTGCAATGCAATCAGATGCAAAATCCACATTGCCCAGGAAACGGAAAAATAATCTGTTCATTTTAAAAGAAGTCTAACATTTTTCAATATTGAATCCTGGAAGATATTTCTTAGTATAGTCCCCATATCAAGAAAATTACTCTTTATGAACGTAAGACTACCTGGAATGGATAAGGAACTGTTTTTTGAACAATCTTTTGCAAGCCACATGTTCTCTGAAATAAAACTATGGTCTAGGAAATTTTATATTTCCTATAAAGTGTATTTGATTAAAAGAGGGAGTTTTGATTCTAAGATACCTTAATTGTGAATAGAAAAAGAGGGAACTGTTTCTGAAACCAAAAAGGAAGGAGTGGAATGGTTTGAATGGAATTTTGGCAAATGCAAAGGAATGAATGGAGTTTGTTAGGAGGGAAGGGGGGGAATCTGTGTAAAAGGACCATTTTTCAGTCTAGGGACCCTCTTATGGGGCAGCATTCCTGTAGTCACCTGAGAATAGGTAGGCACAACTCAACTCTAGATTAAAATCAGAAAGGTATTGGATGTTTAGATGTGCGTTCATTCTCAGGATAAATGCTTCCTAGTATGCATGTAAACTAGATTTAGCAAAATGGGTTTATAGGTCCTTAAAACTAAAAAGGAAAAAAATCTGAAATGTCTTTATTAAGTATGGAGTGTTTCTTGGAAATAAATTTTATGACAACCTTTTTTAAAAAATAATGTAATAAATGTGAAATACATCAACATTTATTATTTCAGTGTGATACCCGAATTGCTTTGGTTTTATCATGAAGGTTTTCATAGCTTTATTAACATCTCCCACCACCCCAACTCCCTGCAATGAGTTCCCTTTTCTAGGTAATGTTTTAAAATCCTTAATTTGTAATTCTCCTATAGATTTTCAATTCCTACCTATAGTAGTTCCCTTCTGTACTCAGGAAGCGGATTCTGCAGAATGCCATATGCTTTCCAAAAATGCTGATGTTTCTAATAAAGGCTGAATCATTGTAATGACATGACCTTTAAAAAAAAAGTCGAATAAGCAGTAATTAAACCTATTGTACTGGGACATATTGATGCAAGTTCCTGCTTTCATTTTATTTTTTAAATTTCTTTTCAAGTTCCTGGTTTTAATACTCTCGCTATTTTTTTCCAGTTGTTTAATTCTTATTCAGTTGACCGATTTTATGTACAGGAAAGAGCTCTGGACTGAGAAAGGACTGTGACAAATCTTAACTTTGTTACTGATTTACTTTGTTGACCTTGAATAGGTCCATTAAGTGGTAATAGGAACTACAGTTTACTTATCTGGAAAATGAGAAACTTGGGCTCAAACACCCTGTGGGCTAGTTAGATGGAAGATAGAATTTCTTAATAACTTAAATTTAACTTAAATTTCTTAATAACTACCTCATAAAAATGTGAATACCAGCACATCTAAAGCAAAGCAGCATGAACACTTAAGAATGTACCATAGGGGTGCCTGGGTGGCTCATTTGGCTAAGCATCGGCCTTCAGCTCAAGTCATGACCCAGGATCCCAGGAATGAGTTCCCTCTGCCCCTCCCCCTGCTCATGCTCTCTCTCTCTCAAATAAATAAATTAAATATTTTTAAAAAGAGCATACTGTAATTTATATCAGTTGAAAAAAGAAATCATAATAGGAAAAGCAATAATAGGATGGGCTTTGTGGAGTTATGAAATTTCAGTTTTCTACTGCTAGGGAGAGTGGAGGTCATGCCAACTGGGATTCTCAAAAATGGTCAAATTATCATCTGCCCCTAGTGCTTCCATGGTTGCTTGATTGATCAGCAGATGTTAAATTTCCTTCCGCTTCTACAGTTAGAACATTTTGGTAATATGTAATCACACTTAAGATACAAAAATGACAAGTACAAGAGTGTTCTTGTTTTTTCTTTTCTTTTTAAAATTAGTTTCGGAGGTAGAATTTAGTGATTCATCAGTTGCATAGAACACCCAGTGCTCATTACATCATGTACCCTCCTCAATATCCATCGCTCGATTATCCCTTCTCCTCTCCCACCTCCCCTCCAGCAACCCTCAGTTTGTTTTTTAGACTCTAATGGTTTGCCACCCTCTCAATTTTCATCCTACTCTATTTTTTTCTTCCCAAGTACAAGAGTGTTCTTGGCAACAATGCATCAGAAATAAAAATCAGAAACAACTTAAATGTCCATGGACAGGAGAACATTGGAATATATTCAGACAATGAAATATTACACAGCAGTGTATAATATTGTATATGTTGATTGATAAAAGGCAAGCAGCAGAAGAATACATGCAAGATCATGCTATTTATGCAGTGTTCATACTATTTATAAAATATGTGAACACAGGAGGATCCCTGGGTGGCTCAGTGGTTTAGCGCCTGCCTTTGGCACAAGGTGTGATCCTGGAGTCCTGGGATCGAGTCCCACGTCGGGCTCCTGGCATGGAGCCTGCTTCTCCCTCCTCCTGTGTCTCTGCCTCTCTCTCTCTATCATTCATAAATAAAATAAATAAATAAATCTTTAAAAAAATATGTGAACACAGAACTTATGCCTAGCCAGTAAGCAGCAGCACAGCCATGCCTATGTAGTATTAGTAATATTTTATTTATTAATCTAGGTGGCAAGTAGATGGGTAAACGTTGTACTATTCTTTAGATATTTTTGTACATTTTAAATATTTCATAATGAAGTTAAAATAATTAAAATAATTTTTTGTCTTTCTTTATGTAGGATCTCCTGCGGTTTAATCTATGCTGGTTTCATCTTCATTGTTTCCATAATGATGACAGTTATCATAACAGTTACCCAAATTATAGTCATGACGGGCTTCATGGTCATATTTACACTCATTTTCTTATATGGTTTATCTTTGGTAAGTTCATACATAATATTACCATGTTCTCTGCTTTAGATCTTAGCTGTCTGTAGCAAAAATGAATTTCTCTGGAGGTTATTACAGTTATTTCCTTCATGTCCATTTTGTATGTGTGCGCATATGTGTGTGTTTGGTTGAGAAATCTCCATCAATGTGAGAAGATTATGTAATATAAAAAAATTGAACCTCTCTTTTGCATAAAATTCTGAGTTAATGAAATGATGCCCCCAAAAGAAAAAAATGATTCTAAAATTATTTTGACTTTAAGACTTTTCTAGATGATTTTAATGAGGCTGCCCTTGAGGAGCGGACCCATCTCTTTTCACCAAAGGTTCTCTGTAACAATGGTGGCTTTCACAGTATCTTTCTCTGACACATGACCTTGCCCTCACTTCCTGTGTCAAGCTTCTTGCTTCGTAAAACAAGAGCCTCTAAATTCTGCAGAGGGTGCATAGATGCTCTTTGTAATACATTAATGTAGGTTCTTTTTAGAAAAGATTTTATTTATTTATTCATGAGAGACACACAGAGAGAGGCAGAGACACAGAGGGAGCAGCAGGCTCCATGCAGGGAACCGGATGTGGGACTCGATCCAAGGACCCTGAGCCTAAGACAGATGCTCAATCTCTGAGCCACCCAGGTGTTCCATTAATGTAGGTTCTTTCAGTGTTTCCAAGTCTGCATTTCTGTCCTTTTCTTAGCTCTCATTCAACTTGTCCCCACCCTTTCTTCGTCAACTAAAGCCCAACAGTTGAGGAGGGCAAAAAAGAATCCTCTTTACAAAGCGGTTGGAGGAAGGGCTGAGCATTAATATTTTCATCACTGTCTCACTGATATATATTTATATTATGATCTAAAGATCCATATTTTATTGTGCTACCAATGATGCTCAGGGAACTAAGTATGTTAAATGGCTAGACGTCTTCTCTCTCTTTCAGATAGCTTTAACATTCCTGATGAGCGTGTTGTTAAAGAAGACTGTCCTCACCAATTTGGTGATGCTTTTCCTCAATGTGTTTTGTGGGACTATAGGATTCGGTGTGTATTATAGACAACTTCCTTCCTCTTTGGAGTGGATTTTGAGTATTTGCAGCCCCTTTGCCTTCACTGCTGGGATGAATAAGGTGAGAACATAGTTAATTGCTTTTTATTGAACTTTCAAAAGAATTTGATATTTCGTGACTTCATAATCACTCTTTCAATTAAAGAGCATTTATTCCAAACGATTTTACCCTAAAGTTAGATTTGAGAATGTTATTATTACTTTGTAGAAAAATCATCATCACACAAGGAAACTTAAATAAGAACATCTTGACTACAACAGATTTCATGTCTCAGATGTGTTTTCATTTTGAAGCCTTATCTTCTTGTTTCTCACGCTTTATATAATGAAGATATTCTCTAGTTTACTAAAAGGCATTGTATAAACCTCTGCTTGAAACCTCAAATCTGAAAAGTTTTCAAGACCATAAAGAGTTCAGCAAATAACAACAAAGTATATCAAAATACTCATGGACTAGATCAAGAAATAGAAAGATGCCACAATTCCAGAGCTCCTCCAAACACTCCTTCCTCCTAAAGGTGAAAGTGTTGTGATCATCATTTCCTGCCTTTTCATTTATCACCTAATGTGTGTTCCTAAGTATAATTTTTTAGTGTTGCCTCTTTGAAACTTTATATAAGTGATAGTCTACAAATTTTTTTGAAATTCTGGTTTTCTTCCCACTCAACATTATATTTTTAGATCTCATCCACAGTTTCCGTGTAGCGATAGTAGACTGTTATGTAGTATTCTATTGTGTGACTATACAATTGATTCTCTTGTTAATGAACAAATATATTCCAGTTTTTGACTTGTATTAACTCTGCAAAAAAATTCTTCTACATATTTCCTAGTGAATATGGGCATTCAGTTGTGTTTGGCGTATATGTAGGAGTTGAATAGTAGGTCTTAAATATGGATAACTTAATCTTCATAGCTATGCCAAATATTTTTCCAAAGTGGTTACATCAATTTACTTTTGCACCAAGAGTTTCCGAGCTACATTTGCTCCAAATCTTCACCGGCATTTGAGGACAGTCAGTCGTCCAAATTTTAGCTATTCTGGTGAATCTGCAATAATAATCCTTATTGTATTAATTTGCATTGTCTTGATTCTTCTTTTAATGAGTTTCATTCTTTTTCATATGCTCACTGGCGTTTTGGTTTCTCCCTTTAATAAAGCGCCTATTCAGTTCTTTTGCCCATGTTTTAACTGACTTTTTAGCTTTTCCTTATCACTTTGTAGGAATTTCTTATATAAGCCAGATATGAGACATTTTTCAGTTATTTGTTGCTGATCTTTTTACTCTTTTAATGGTGCTTTTAATGAGCAAGTTTCTTAATTTTGCTAAAGTCCAGTTTGTCAAGTTTCCTTTTCTGTAGAGTGCTTTTTTTTTATCTTTAAGAAATCATTGCATTTCCCAAGATTATAAAGAGATGCTCCCATGGCTTTTTTCTGGAAGTTCAATTGATTCTGCTTGTACAGATATAAAATCCATTTCAGAATAACTTTTGTGTATCTATAGTTAGAAACAATATTAATTTTTCTACATGAATATCCAATTTCCTTTACTTCATTTATTGAAAAGATTATCATTTCCTTGAACAGATTGCAGTATCTCCTTTGTCATAGCTTTACCAATTCTGTATTGACCCATCTGTCCATCCTTCCACTGTTGCCACATTGTCTTAATTGTTTTTGCTCATATATCCTGATATCTGGTAGTAATTTTGTCACTTGATTTTCTTTTCCAAGAGATCCTTTTCTATTCTAGTTTCTTTGAATAATGGAAATTTTAGAATTAACTTATCAAGGTACACACACACACGTATGCACAAAGCTGTTGACATTTTGATATGGTTGATTTTTTCAATCAATTTGAGCGAAATTGACACTTTAAAAAATATTTATTTATTCATTTGAGAGACAGAGAGAGCATGCAAAGGGAAGGGCAGGGGGAAAGAGAGAATCACAAGCAGACTCCCTGCTGAGTGTGGAGTCCAATGCGGGGCTACATCTCACAATCCTGAGATAATGAATGACCTGAGTTGAAATCAAGAGCTAGACTCTTAGCTAACTGAGCTACCCAGCTGCCCTGACACTTTTCTTTTTAAGATTTTTATTTATTTATTTATTTGAGAGAGAGACAGAGAGAGCATGAACAGAGAGAGGGATGGATGGAGAGGGAGACGCAGAGGGAGCCTGATATGAGGCTTGATCCCAGGACCCTGGGATCATGACCTGAGCCTAAGATAGATGCTTAACCTATTGAGCCAGAGGTACACCACCCACCCCCCGACACTTTTTTTGGATCATGAACATAATATATCGTCACATTCATTTTCCCTTAGTAATTGTTTTAGTTTTGAGTACTGAGCCTTGTACATTTTTTATTTATTCCAAAGTTTTTGATACTTTTGATGCCATTATTAATAGCATCGGTGTTTAAATTCTAATTTTTAAATGTTTGTTATAATGTCCTTATAGGAAATGCAACTGATTTCTGTAAATTGGCACTGTATCCAGTATTCTTGCTATATTAAAACTAGTATTTTTCTGAGTTTTATCTTGGAATTTTCTTATGTATAATTATGATATCTACAAATAATAATGGTTTATTTTTTTGCTCTTGCAGTCCTTATGCCAGTTACCTATTTTTCTTGCTTTACTGGGGAGACTGGAACCTTTAGTACAATGTTGAATAGAAATGCAAGCAAAGGCATAATAAGTATGATTTTTGGTGCTGGTCTTTGTACAGTCTATTTTACCGGGTTAAGGAAGATCACTTATTATCTTAGTTTGGGAAGAGACTTTCTTTATTATAAGTGGATATTAAATTGTATCAAATGCTTTTTGTGCATCTATTTGATTAACCACATTAGTGTCTTTTTCAATCTGTTTTTTGGTTGAATTACATAGATTGATCTTCAAATGTCCACTCAGAATTGCAACCCAGATCTTCAAATGTTAAGCCAGATTTGAGAATAAACTCAAACTTTGTCACTTGGTCATGAAATGTTAAGATTTTGACAGAAATAGAGTCGTAAATTGCCTAGTGTGGGGAACTGGGCTTGGGAGCTGGGCTTCCTGTGTTCTGAGTTCAGCTGGGCCACTCTTTACTATATGATTTTGACTTTGGTTGGTTAAGCTACTCAATTCCTCTGTGCTTCACTTTGACCATATGTAAAATGCACGTAAAAATAATAAGGCCTGTCCCATAGGGTTATGAGGCGGATTAAGTGAGGTATTATAAAAAGCCTGAGAACACCTAGAATATAACACCTATTGTTGCATGACAAAATTATACACACCTCTTTATTAGCCATAATAACTAGAGCAAGCAGTTCTCTTATCATTATCCTACTGTGATGCTTCAAATGATTCTTCATATTCTTCCTAAAATGTGTATTTTTTGCTGCATAGAGTAGATATTTTGTAATATGGTCGTGACTTTATGAAAACAAGAAAATGATTTATCACTTAAATTCCTAGTCTTAGAACATTATATTTTTTAAAAGATTTTATTTATTTATGGGATGCCTGGGTGGCTCAGCGGTTGGGCATCTGCCTTTGGCCCAGGGCCTGATCCCAGGATCCGGAATCACATCGGACTCCTTTGCATGGAGCCTGCTTCCCCCTCTGCCTGTATCTTCTGCCTCTCTGTCTCTGTGTGTCTCATGAATAAATAAATAAATAAAATCTTTTAAAAAATATTTAAAAAATGAAAGATTTTATTTATTTATGCATGAGCGACACAGAGAGACACATAGGCAGAGGGAGAAGCAGGTTCCCCGTAGGGAGCCCGATGTGGGACTCGATGTGGGACTCGATCCTGGGATGATCCTGGGACTTGATCTGGGGACTCGGGGATCACACCCTGAGCCAAAGGCAGATGCTCAACCACTGAGCCACCCAGTCATCCCAGAACATTGTGTTTTTTAAATCTGTTTTTCCTTCCAATAACCCTTGGATGCTGTCAAATAGAAAAAGTTACACCAATAACTTCATTATAAGGGTTTCTTTAAAAAACTATTTAATAAAATGATAATTCTTACTGCTATACTGAATTACTGAATTATTTTTATGTATTTAACTTAAATATTTATTATTATTATTTCTGTCTGAATCTTAGATTATCTACTTCGATAATGCTATCAGTGGTGCCATTTTACCTTACTCTTCAGGAGATTCATATGTAATGATTGGAACTTTTTTCATATTGGCTTTTGATGCACTTTTCTACTTGGCATTGGCATTATACTTTGAAAAAGTCTTACCCTGTAAGTAAAAGTGACTTTTCTCTGACTTCTGCATGTATTGATTACATTGTACATTTTTACTTAAATGTATCTTAAGAAATAAAGAATAACAAATATTTCATTCACAAGCTGAATGAGTTCGTTATTTCTACTTCATAATTTTAACGATTTAAAGGAATTTATATGTATAAACAATTATTCTTCTGATTTTAAGAATACATTTTACAAATACACAGTAATTAAATATTACTTTTCTCAAGAATCCCTGAAAATGTTTTCAAAGAATGATGTTTAGGATTTGTTTCAGAACAAACTGAAACAAATTAATTCTCTTTTTAAAAGATTTTATTTATTTATTCATGAGAGACACAGAGAGAGGCAGCAACACAGGCAGAGGGAGAAGCAGGCTCCCTGCAGGGAGCCTGATGCGGGACTCAATTCCCCGGACCCTGAGATCACACCCTGAGCCGAAGGCAGACGCTCAACCACTGAGCCACGCAAGTGCCCCTGAAATAAATTAGTTCTTAACATGGTTTTGTCTAGTGTGGATCCATCATCCAGTTGAAGTGCTTCTTAATAAATAGTTCTTAAGGCACCTGGGTGGCTCAGTCAGTTAAAGGTCCGATTCTTAGTTTCAGCTCAGGTCATGATCTCATAGGTCATGGGATTGAACCCTGTCTCTGGCTCCCTGTTCAGTGGTGAGTCTATTTGAAATTCTCTCCCTCTGCCCCTCCCTCCATGAGTACTCTCTCTTTCTCTCAAATAAGTAAACAAATCTTTAAAAAAATAAATAGTTCTGACAAGAACATGGGGGAAAATGTAAACTGGACATCTAGAAAGGGCCTCAGGTGTACTCTCCTATTCACCCTTCCTTCTGGAAGGACCATTTCAGAAGGGGAGATGTTCATTCTTTAAGGAAATAACAAAATAGAAATTTTGTTAAAATAGAAAATAGAAATAGCATTTTTCTGAAACGTTTTTGTACATTGTTCATATTTACAGAACTATATTACTCAGTTAAATTTTCTCTATCTTACAAACAACCCAAAATTTCCCAAGTCCAGCATTTCTTCACACATGCTAGAATCAGAACACTCTTTTTCCTTGCACAATCTTATTTACCTTATTTTTTATGTTCTTTCCACTTTGTATTTAAAGCTGTCTTGTATGCTTCTATGCAACTATTTTATATATTCCTATCTTTCTGTCACTTCTAGTTTAATATCTGAAAGCTCTTCGTAACAAATCCTATTCATTGTTTTAAATTGGAAAATGATACTATATCTATCCTGAACAAACACAATTTCTTCTTGTACTTTATATTCATGTACCACATGGATTTCAGTATTATGTCCAATCATGTTGTTGTGATCAAGTGATTTATTTTTCCTTTTGAGAGAGAGAATACAGCGAGTGTGGGGAGGGGCAGAGGAAGAGAGACTCTTAAGCAGGCTTCATGCTCAGCATGGAGCCTGACACAGGGCTGGATCTCACCACCCTGAGATCATGAGCTGAGCCAAAACTAAAAGTTGGTCACTTAACCCAGTAAGTCACCCAGGTGCCCCTGTGATCTAGTGATTTCTTAAGTTCACGGACATGTTTACAGTTGTTTTTATGTGCTGTATTAAGGCTTTTCCCCCAGATATTTGGTTCTGTTCATCCTAAATGCCTTTTAGATCACATTTTTTCAAACCTTTGTTGTATATATACTTTCTTGAAAGTTCTATTATACTGTTTAACTTTTGTGACAGTATATTATTTCATTTGAATTTTCACTGTTTCCTTCATGACAAGTTTTCAATTAATAGGAAGTTAGGAAGAAAAGAATTTCTCTATGATGCTTAAAAGTCTAAGACACTCTGCACTATTTTTAAAATAAGGCTTCTTTACTCATTGTTCTAATATTACTAATCCAATATTTTATTGTCTCTTGGTCTCTTGGTTAATTAGATGGAAATGAGCACCGTTCTTCTCCATTATTTTTCCTGAAATTACCTTGTTTCCAACATCAGAGAACTAATAATAAGGTCATTGAGAAAGATATAGATCCCGAACATCCCTCTGATGATTATTTCGAACCAGTAGCCCCAGAATTCCAAGGAAAAGAAGTTATCAGGTAATCCTATTTGTCCCAATATACAGGTGCAAGGCAAATGAATTATTTGACCAACAGCAACAGGGTGAGCCTGAGCAAAATGCTGAAGAAAATATTTGTCTTTGTGAATGTACTTTGAACTTTTCCATGTGACAACCAATGTCTACTGATTGCTCCTTGAAGGGAAAATTCTCTTTGCTTCGGCTCCATATAATGTTACCATATCACCCGCCATGTTGTTTCACTCCTTATTTCTGTATTGATTCCCTTTTGCCCAGGTGCTCTCCCCTTTATATACCAATGAGCACTTTGTCTTTCTCTAGCCACTTGTTAGCTATACATACAGAGGGTTTTTTTTTAAGATTTTATTTTATTTATTCATGAGAGACACAGAGAGGGACAGAGACACAGGCAGAGGGAGAAGGAGGCTTCCTGCGGGGAGCCTGATGTGGGACTTGATCCCAGGATCTTGGGATCATACCCTGAGCTGAAGCCAGATGCTCAGTCACTGAGCCACCCATGCATCCCAAAGCATGCAGAGTTCTGACCGTAATCAAGGTCTTATCTGTGTAAACATGCCCATTTTTTAATTCACAACTGGCTCTCTCTCACCTAATGCCCTCCCTCCCAATTTTTCCTTCTTGTTGGGGTGTGTGTGTGGGGGGGTATTTGTATGCACAATTGTTCATTCCTATAATTTTAGCTCATTCATGCAACATTCCCTGAACATAGGCAGGATGTCTGCCCCAAACAAATGCTATTTTCATCTCTGAAATTTAAAAACAAATGGTTGCTCCTAATTGGAAATTTCTTTATTAAAATAAAATATTAAACCCCATTTCAGTGTGTGTCCCACTGTGCAGAGAAAGGCAGAGATATAATACCCTGTCAGATTCAGCACCTTTTTAGCCTTTCTATTTTATATTTCCTGACGCTTTGGTTAACCCCACCCACTGCCAGCATCCTGGTTGGATAAATGTCCTTACCTTTATTTTGCTTTATGCTCAGAGAAAAGGGTGGCTAATTTCTGTCTCCTTTTGAATTTGAAGATGCACTGTACATGATTTTACATAGTCATGACATCTCTAATCTGTTGGAGCCAACTTCCTACCTCGTCCTGCATTAATTTCCTTTGGGATTCTAATGTGCATTCAGGTTTGGTAATCACTCATTTAGAGGTGTGTGTGCGTGCGTGTGTGTGTGTGTGTGTGTGTGTGTGTGTGAGAGAGAGAGAGAGAGAGAGAATGAGATGAAACCTTTAGATGTGGGAGACTAACATTCAGGGAAAAGAATAGGGTCAACACTAGGCTGATGTTGAAATCATGAGAATGAATGAGATAACCTCTCAAGAGAGTCTAGAGTGAGAAGACCAGCATGGACATGGAGAACCCTGTGGAACATCAAGATGATGTGCTTGACAAAAGAAAAGGAACGGACAAGGAAACAGAGAAGGGGCATTTAGAAAAATAGAAGGAAAACCAGTACGTTGAATGTTACCTTGAATATGGACACTTTCAACAAGAAAAGCATCACCAATGGTGACCCATAATCCCATAAGTAAAATAGAAAAGTCTTTGTTGCATTTGGTGATTAGGAGGCCGCTAGTGATTTCAGGATGAAGAGGTTCACTACAGTGATGGGTTCAGAAACCAGAGTGATTGAGGAGGAAGTGAGAAGGCGGGTGTGGCAAGTTTACACTCTGATTGTATCCAAAAAAGAGTTACAGGCCAAAGAGAAGCTATCAGAGTGAAAACTATGGAAAGCACGGGGCGGGGGGGGGGGGGTAGAAAAAGCACAGGCGACAGAGGGTATGATTAATGAGCAAGTTTGGAGGGGATGGGAGAGGATGGGAGGTGATACTTAAATAGTACAGATAAATGAGTTGATCTTGTATAGAATAGAAAACGCCAAGTAGTCTAAGACGGAGAGGAAGAATGTGAGAACAATTCCAAACTGTTCTGCTTTTCTAAGCAAAACACTAATCATTTAATTGTAACCTTCCAAAAAGGCTCTTGTACTTTCTCTTTCAGGGGAAATGATTAATCAAAAAGAAGTCTTTGTCTTTCTAGTACACTGATTACACCATCCCTTATTTCACATAAAGAGGTTGATGCATCTATTTCAACCATGGTTGTTCCTGATCCCTACTACTTTCACTTCTGTATTGGTTGAGTAAACACAACTTCTGTCATTTCAGAATCAGAAATGTTAAAAAAGAATATACGGGAAAGACTGGGAAAATGAAAGCATTGAAAGGTAAAGGCAAACATTTCATTGTTTCATCGACTTCTTTTTACAAAAAATGGGGAAATTTTAATGTGAAACCCGTGTAAATACAGACAAACAAAACATAAAAAAGAAAACAATACAAACAATCTAACTCTACCACTTGGAGATTAATCATGATTAAGAGCTGGCTATAAAGTCCTTCTAGGTGTTTCACGGATCTATAAATTTACAAGAATGGGGTCATGTAATGAAAAGTGTGGTTTCGCTTTTTTTTAATTTATGTTATTTTACTTTTAAGATTTTATTTATTTATTTGAGAGAGTGTGAGCGAGAGAGACCATGAGCTACAGTGAGGGGCAGCGGGACAAGTAGACCCCCCGCAGAACGGGGAGGCTGATGCAGGATTCAATCCCAGGACCCCAGGGTCATGACCAGAGCTGAAGGTAGACGCCTAACTGACTGAGCCACCTAGGCGCCCCTTCACTTTGATTTTAAAGATAAGTTTGCTAAAAACAATGTTGTATTTTATTTGCGCTATGAGGAAGGAACATCTACCGCAGAGCAAACACAGTTATAATTTTGAAGGAACCAATGTATCTGATGCTAAATTCTAACAAATACAGTTTTCTATAATAAACATTTAAGTAAGCACCCAAGTTAGTGGCAACATTTCATAGAGGACAGCTTGCTTTTATTAATAATGATTTTTAGGAAGAATGTAATTGATTTTCACAAGAGATGGAACCCTTAAAAGTCATGAAAGAAGAGCCATAGACCTTCCCTAAGGTTGAGAGTTCTCAGTCCGATGTGTGTGTGTGTGTGTGTGTGTGTGTGTGTGTGTATCACATTTACTTTCTCGCAGATCGTGTGCCTTAACTCGATCTTATTTATTGCTCTGAGGTCATTTCTCACTTTGAGAATTTCCTGTACCCGTGCCAGCAAATTTATTCTCACCCCAGGTTTGTCCCATCCAAGGCCATCTAGATTTATGGTTTCTTTCTTTAATTTTAGCCAAGGATATACTGCAGTATTTTTAAAATTTGTCATTTCAACTTCCAGAGCACATTATGAACTACTTTTGTAATCATCAGTAACCATGAGCTCCTTTTGTACTCATCAATAACCATGAACTCCTTTTTTACATCTAAACATCTTCAAAAAATTTAAAAATTAAGAGTGATGAATATCAATACATAGAAAACTATATGAAGTCACCAATTGCAGCTGCTCTTTGGGAAGTAAGGGGGGAGCTTCTACCATGCAGCTAGTTTCTGTAGCAACTTCGGAAAGCCTTCGGGGACACGCTTTGAAGTCCTTACCTACAGCCTATCCCTCAGTGACTAAATAGGATTCTGTTGTATGGATACCTTGATTTACTTAAACTTGTGTACACAAATCTGGCTTGTGTACAATTTTTTCATTATCATGGAAAAAACACTATAATGAGCATTTCCTTTCAATCCTTGTAAATATCATTATTTCCTGAATATAAATTTCTAAAAGCAGATTACTCAAAGGGATTGTATTTTTAAGTTTCTTATTCATATTCCAAGCTATTTCCCTCCAAGCTTATAAGAATTTATACGCTTGTGGGAATAAGAAATAATTAAAAACAACAGTAATAATAGCAACAAACAGTTGAAGTTTCTTGAGTACTTAGTGTGTGCTGGCAACTATGATAAGTGATTTACATACTTTTTTTCCCATTTAATCCTGTGAGATACATAATATCTCTCCCACTTTGCAGATGAAGACACTGAGGCTTATATTTATTTATTTTTTCTGGTTAATATGGGTTAATATGGATCAATTCCAAGATAGATATTACCAGTTTTCTCTTACCCTAGAAAGCACCATTTTTTTTTCCCATTTAAAAATAGTAAATGTAAAATTTGTTGATGGAGTACCTGGATGGCTCAGTTGGTTAAGCATCTGCTTTTGGCTCAGGTCACAATCTCAGGGTCCTGAGGTGGAGCCCCGCATCTGGTTCCCTGCTCAGTGGGGAGCCTGTTTCTTCCTCCCCCACTGCTTGTTCTTTGTCTATCGCTCTCTCACATAAATAAACAAAATCTTTAAATAATAAACAAACTTAAGAAAATAAAAGTTGTTGATGTATTTGTTTAGTTGTCCCACTATTGTTTATTAATTAATTCATCTTTTTGATAGATTTAGAAGGTTGTTTCATTAATCTTTATTTTTTATGTTTACTTTGCTCCATCTTCTTTGGTATTCCATCAGTTAGTGTATCCTGGAGTAGTAATATTATCTTAATTATATTTATTCCACTGATTACCTTATTACTAACATATTATTTTGTTATTTTTTATTTAAATTCAATTTGCCAACATATAGTAAAACACTCAGTGCTCATCCCATCAAGTGCCCTCCTCAGTGCCCGTCACCCAGCTACCCCATCCCCCCACCCACCTCCCCTTCTGCAACCCTTGTCTGCTTCTCAGAGTTCATATTATTTTGATTATTAGAGTTCTCCAATATATTTTAATACCATGTAGTCAAAACTGATTTCTTGATATTCTTTAATTTTTCTTATTTATTTGAGTTTATTTTTCCAATTATTTTTAGAATCTTTTAGTCAAATTATAAGTGAGGATTTTCGTGGATTGGATTAAAATAGGAGGAATTTTCTCTTTACATGTACTTATTATTACCAGCACATTTAATAGCTGAGTAAAGTGAACCTCATAGTGTATAGTTTATCCAAGATCATCCAGATAGAAAATGGATGAACTGGAATTCATCCCAGTTGTTAATTAATTTCAATGTTTGAAAATAGGTCACATAATTTAATTGAAGGAACCTGATCTCTTAGACATATTATAAAATTCTTAAGAATTTCATCCAACGACTTTTCATAACAGAGATTGGTTTTCACTTGGTGGTAAAGAAAACAAACAAAGAAAATAATAAAGAATTCTTAATGATTTTTTTCTACTGCCCTATAAATACAAAAGGTTTGTAATAAAAGAAAAGAAAATTAAAAAAAAAGAAAAGAAAATTTATAACAGGAGAAAAATATAAATTTTTGGTGAATATATTTTAAAAGGCAATTAATGCCATGAAAAATGCATATCATTTAACATTTGAAATTGTAAGCTAGAAAAGAATAGCTTAGGATCAAAATCTGTGTATGTGTATATTTACATGTTCTTATATGCACATGCACATACACTGGAATTAAGTGTATTATAATGCTTAAATCTGAAAATATAGTTAATTTTATTTTCTTATGTGCTTGTATTTATTTCACAAATATTCTACAGTAAGCATGTTATGTTAGCAGCCGGGAAAATTTTGGATATTATATGTTTTAAACTACTTAAGTGCTTGAAAATATACAACTATAATAAATTTTTTGTTCTACTTTTAGAATCAGCTCTTTCTAATTCTTTCTTATTTATAATGTTAATATTTTATTCTAAAAACAGACTTGACTTTTGACATATATGAAGGTCAAATCACAGCAATTCTGGGTCATAGTGGAGCTGGCAAATCTTCATTGCTGAACATCCTTAATGGGTCATCTGCTCCAACAGAAGGTGAGCAAAAAGAAATATCTCAAAGACAAGATGTCTAGAGGTCATATGCTGCCTTATTTTAAGGTTAAATCTGACTGCTTAAGAGAAAATAATGTTTCTCTAACATCATTTACCACACCGTATGATTTTGAATATATTTTATATTTCCCAAATTTTTATGAAAATCATTAGCCTTATTCCATTGCTACGTGATATTCCAGGGAAAATATATACCACTCTGAACATATATTTATGTTAAGGTTAATTCATAGTTGCTACTAAATTGTGAACTCATTATTTTAGATATGAAAATATGCCAGCATTTTCCTGATAAGATCTCTAAGCATTAATAAAGTGTATTATCTTGTCAAAATTATTTTTAACTTCTATATTTAGGATCAGTTACTATCTATAATAAAAATCTCTCTGAAATGCAAGACTTGGAGGAAATCAGAAAGATAACTGGTGTTTGTCCTCAATTCAATGTTCAATTTGACATGCTCACCGTGAAGGAAAACCTCAGGCTATTTGCTAAAATAAAAGGAATTCAGCCGCACGAAGTGGAACAAGAGGTAAATGGGCATGCTTAGATTAACGAGTTAAATTTGCTGGCTTAAATCGTGACCACAGAATTCACCTCAGCAATCTACCTGCCCTGTGCTAAATAAAATTTAGGCAGTAGGTCCTATAAAAAAGATCTCGGATCTCCTGCTATAATGGACAGTGAGAATTATATAGTATGGATTGTCTTGGATTTTAAGCTTTGTGTATTTTCTTGCATAGGTACAAAGAATTTTATTAGAATTGAATATACAAAACATTCAGGATAATCTTGCTACACATTTAACTGAAGGACAGAAAAGAAAGCTGACCTTTGGGATTGCCATTTTAGGAGATCCTCAAGTAAGTGAGATTCTGCATGCGGTGGAATGCAGATTGAATATTAGTAAAAAGTCAAGCTCTTCTTTTACCACTAAAAGTAGTAGAGATTTCATTGTAACACATCAGGAGAGAATCTGCTGTTAAACTATTAATATAAGCATACTGGACATAAATGATTGGATAGTTCTTATTATTTGGTTTTTATTCTTATCCATGCAATCATATGGAAAGAGTTAATGTGAGAGAGATATATTTTATTTTATATATTATCATCCTCTGCAGATTTTACTATTAGATGAACCAACTGCCGGCTTGGATCCCTTTTCAAGGCATCGAGTATGGAACTTCCTCAAGGAACACAAAGCAGGCCATGTAATCCTCTTGAGTACCAATCTCATGGATGAGGCTGACATCCTGGCTGGTAATTGTTGGTTTTATCTCAGTTTTGTAATGAAGAATTTGGGGAATGTTTATTTCTGGGGCAAGCACTGAGCTCCCATGACTTTGGTGTGTGTTCCATTCCATAGCAGTCCCAGGAATGGCAAAGTCTAACAACCCTATGGAATTCTTCACTAGATTGTGACCACTAATAACAAAATTGTAATTTTGTAAGCTTTCAATTAATTTAAACATTGATATCATTATATATCTGGTTGAAAAATATTCACTTATTCTTTAGCATCCAGAGTGGAAAATGTGCCAATGTAATGTCTGTTTGTTGTTGTTGTTGTTTCTAAAGAATTATTGGAGGGCACAGAAATAGACTGGAATTCATAAGCTCTCTTTAAATTCATCAATTTTGATGTGTATTTCAACTTTTTAAATGTACATTAGATACATTTATTTCCTGTAGAGCACTTTGCCTTTGGAAGTCTGAGCTTTGTCCCTTCCCCCAAATTTTTGAGAGAGGGAAGAAATGACACCCATCATCCTTTCTCTCTTGCTTCTTTTTAATCAGATAGGAAAGTGATCATGTCCAATGGGAGACTGAAGTGTGCAGGGTCTTCTGTCTTTTTGAAGAGAAAATGGGGTCTTGGATATTACTTAAGGTAAAGACTTTGGGGATAGATTGGAGATATGCATATATATGTTTTCAAAACTGGTATATCAAAAAGGCAGATAATTATGGGAGACAGTTGGCCTTATGCTCCATTTCCACCAAACTATTAACTACTGTTTCCCAAATGTTTTTCCTGCCTCTTTGTATCTTTATTAATGCTAATGACAAGCAGAATTTCAAAGGTATAAGCCCAGTCTCACAGATCCCAGCAGGGCTACTTCATGGACCACTTTCAGGTAGCTGCTCTGTACATCCCAAACTTCTCTCTTCTACCCATCCTCCATTTCCCTCAGCTGATCCATACAATCCTGTAACATATTTTCATTCTTTCATTGGGCACAAAATCAAATGATTTCAGAAGCTAGTATCAAAAGTGGGAGAGACTTAAGAGCACTGTATCTAACAAGAAAGGGTGTCCAGGTAAAAAGAATTTTTAAAAACCCAAACCAAAAACCCTATGGCCAAACAAAACATGCATTTAGGCCAAACTTCCTTATTAGTCACTAATTCCTGGTATCTACTCAATCTGGTGAAATTATTTTCCCTAAAAAATTTCTTCTGCCTAGTGTCTTGCCTTGCTCAGTTTATCTTCCTACTTGAAGTATGGTTTCAGTTACAACACACATTTGTTTGTTTATTTGTAGTTGTTCTGAATTTATACATCTCTATATAGATCACAAGATTTTTTTAAACCGATGGCATTATTATTATTACTTCTGTTTTTTCTATTTACTCATTTTGTTTGTTCCCTAAAGCCAAGTAAAGTAGTACTCAAAGGCTAGCTATTCAGTAAAAGCTCTCCTTTTGTTATAGCAGTAGAGAAAATACAAATCAATGATCTTTTTTTTAAATATCAGTTTGTACAGAAATGAAGTATGCGATCCAGAAAAAATAACATCCTTTGTTAATCATCACATCCCTGATGCTAAATTAAAAACAGAAAACAAAGAAAAACTTGTATATATTTTGCCCATGGAAAGGACAAATAAATTTCCAGGTAACTTAAATATGATTATGATAGAATGAAATTTGGGGACAAGTGTTCACCTCATTATTACAGTTTTCATTATTTAATGGATTTGGATTTTGTCTTAGGTTGGGTTCTCTAAAAAGCAGAACTTGAAATGAAGACTTTAGTGCAACTCATTTGGTAACTGATGCTTAGAAACACCAGTAGGGAATGGGGACATGAGAGTGAGAGGTGAAGGAAGCTAGGGAAGATTGCATTATTGAGCAGATGGTTGCAATATGAAATTGAGATGTAATATCACTGGAATAAATAAATGCATAAGTGAGCAAGGGGCTCAGAGTTTGGTCATGAGAGGGGTGAGAAAGCTAGGGTATATATTTGCCACTTTCTACCCTTCACTGCTTAAAAGATGCTTTTGGGAGCATTAGTTTTCCAATCCATATGGCTTTACTCAGTATGACCTTAGCATACTTCAGAGCCCAGAAAAGAAAGCCTTCAGGCAGGTGTTAATAAGCAGATTTACTGTGCATAGGTGAGTACGGACACGATGGGGGGGCATCAAGGTGTGTACTATAGGTTCCCTTTTATATTTCAATATAATCGTGTATATATTTACTATTTAGAAATGAACATCCATAGTTTATTTATTATATAAAAGTATTCACCTTGGGTTCCCAGGCTGCTGGAAAGCAGCAGTCCCAACCTAGGATTTGTTCAATAAATAATTCTAATAATTGCTAACGCTTTGTACAATGTTTACTATGAGTCAGTCACTGTTCCCAATAGTTTCATATATACCAACCCATTTGGTCCTACAACTGTTCTATGAAATATGTGCTATAGTCTTCTCTGTCTTACAAATGAGGAAATGTATCCCAGGTTTTTCTTTTCATTTAAAAAACTTCCTTTTTAAACATTCAGTTTATTAAAGGTTTAACTCTCTACAGGCCTGATTTAAAGAGGCTTATATGGATGAGTCAATCTTATTAAGCAAATACTCAGGATTTCAGATTTAGTCTCACCCCCAAATGAGGCAGCTCTCTGTATCATTGTTGGAGCTGCGAAGTGGTATTCTCAAGTCCATAGGCTATTCTGTATTATTCTGTCCAATGGAATACAACTAGCCTGCCTTCTTGTTGGTTGGGGAAGGAGAATAGTGAGTTATATGTTGATACCACCATGAGAACATGTCACATCAGAGTCCCTGGTTTTGGTGTTTCAGTCCATGGCTGCCCCTTTATGCAGACCCTAGACCACTGCAAGTCCAATAGCATACGTATGTCCTATAGGAAATATGGAAGGTAATAATAAATGTTTATTGGAAGGTGAGAAGATGATGTTCTTTTTTTTTCTTAAAGATTTTATTTATTTATCCATGAGAGACACACAGAGAGATGCAGAGAGAGAGGCAGAGACACAGGCAGAGGGAGAAGCAGGCACCATGCAGGGAGCCCAACGTGGGACTCAATCCCGGGTCTCCAAGATCATGTCCTAGGCAGAAGGCAGGCGCTAAACTGCTGAGCCACCCAGGCTGCCTGATGATGTTTTTCTGATTGCTCATATTTCCTCAAAGAAGTATTCTGGAAGTTCATGAGCTGAGAATATTAAATAGAATACAGATGGTTTGAGGGTAGAGGGAAAGTGCTGACATATTCATTTCAGAAAAGAAGAACATTCTAATAAAATTTTGTTTTTGCTTACTGTGGTATTCCAAAGACGTATATTTCCTGAACAATATTCTAGATTATCTTTTAAATAGGTGTTAATTTACTGGGTTTTGTTATCACTGTGGTATGTAAAATGTATCTATTCTGGTCTGTTGCCTTAGAGCTTTTCAGTGATCTTGATAAGTGTTCTGGCCAGGGTGTGATGAGTTATGACATTTCCGTGTCAACTCTGAATGACGTCTTCATGAAACTGGAAGGCAAATCAACCATCGAACAAGGTAAATTCATTGTATAAGTAACAGAATATCAATTTCCAAATAATCGTGGTTTAAATTTAGCATTTTATAATGCCTTAGGCATGGTTTACACTGACGGATGTGAATAATTCTAAATTTGACTTTGCTGTTTGGGAAGTATTGTTTTCTACCATCATTACTAGGACTGAACACAGATCCCTTCTTGGAATAGAAGAGACTTCTCTTTGGAAACTATTTCCTTCCTATTTCAGCAGTTTTCTCCTAGCCCCAGATGCTCACTGCTTCTTGGGTATTCTAAGGATGTGAAAGGCTCTTAGATCAAGGTCATTTATTATAAAAATAGCTCTTAGTTTGTTCGTGTACAAAATTTCACTGAAGGTCTTAATGCGGAAAAGGCTAGGGTCATCTCCTGTGTATTTTAGTGGATAGTAATAAGAGTCATTTACAGAGCCTCTATGCCAGAAACTTTGAACAATATATGGATATAGTACATTACCTTTCTACAATAACCTTTCCAACAAAAGGCATTGGCACCATTTTTACATGGGAGAAAACTAGACTAAGAGCCATTAAGGGATTGGTCCCAAATCATGCCACTTATAAGTCATGTATTTGGGAATCAGGTACAAGTGTAGTGGTTTCAGAGCTGGTAATCGTTCGCCTATATTTTGAAATTATTGACAGCCTAATAGCCAACATGTAGGCATCAATGATTGGCTATTCCTGGGGAGAATATTTCTTGAAATCCCTCAGAATATTGCTACACATGAGACCTTCTATGCCTTTTCAAAGGTTAGGCATAATGAAGTCACCCTTTACTGAATTCTTTTTGGGGGTATGAATTTAGTTATATTTTATCATTGAGTTTATTGAAAGTGGGCGTTATAAATATAATTTGTTTCTTCTTTGGCTTGCTTTGTAACCATTGTAAAATAATTTTAATGTTACTAAAAAGAGAAAACTGTGATGCCCGAGGATGGCATTAATAATGTGTGTGTGTGTGTGTGTGTGTGTGTGTGTGTGTGTGTGTAGATTTTGAACAAGCAGAGATGGTAAGAGACACAGAAAGCCTACATGAAATAGAGCCAGCTTGCTCTTCTATTCCTGAAACGCAGAAGGCTGTGAGTGACATGGGCCTCTGGAAAATGCAGATCTGCGCAATAGCACGACTCCGTTTCTTAAAGTTAAAACGTGGAAGGGAAGAGCTTTTGACCCTGTGAGTACCAGAGTACTGTGGTTTTCTTAGTGAGTTTCAAGAGAGGGTGAAACCAGAAGAGAATTTAAAACTAGAACATAATACCCAATATTCCTGCCAGACAATGGATAAATACAACATTTCATTTTACTGACAGTGGGAACGCCTGTATGGTAACGCTTGATGAGCCTTATACACAGGTTGGTTTAGTTTTCATGGTTTGATAGCCTGCTGCTTATATAGCAATGCCTTTTAGTACTATGTGGAGTGCTAAGGCCTGACTTTCAAAATTTTATCATCTATAATTATGGCTGGCATAGAGTTGGTACCCAACAAATATTTGTGAAATGTCTAACAATAAATAAAATTGCTACAGATTCACGTGGTTATTTTTTCTTTATTGGTAGACTGTTGGTATTCGGAGTTGCCATGTTCCCTTTGATTGCGGAAAATATAATTAGTGTTCTATTAATTCAAAAGATTGACTGGAAATTTAAACCCGAAGTGTATTTCCTCTCTCCTGGACAACCTCCCAAAGACCCTCGTACCAGCCTATTGATCATCAATAACACAGGTGAAGAGAAAAACAACATTTTAATCCAGAAAGAAGTTATTTTTATGTAGAGCAAGAAAAAGCAAATCATAGGAGAAGAAAATTTGTATTTAGACTTCGTTTATAGAAAATAGCTGAGGAGCAGTGCATATTTGGTCTGAGTTTGGAGATGATAGAGATGGTGGGACAAGGCAAAAAGAATGTGGGTCACTATATAACCTGGTTAAAGCAGAACTGCCCATCTACCTGAACACCCTAAGCTATTATGTGAGACAGAAATGAACCTCCAAACTGATTGAACCGCTTTATTTGAGATCTCTTTGTTATAGCAGCCTAACCTGTTCCATAAATATTATACACACTGATTGATATGTAAATAATGCATTTTTATACCCTATGCCCCTCTGGGTTCCTTAAGACAGTTTGGCACTCATGTTCTTATTATCCTAAATTATGGGTAATTGGTTATATCTAACTGCTTATTTAACTTTGAAAAATCTTTTGTTTCTTCCTAAGATTATATATATTCAGCATAGGAGGCCTCTCTTGACAAGTACGCCAGCCCATTCCAAAATTCATATACATTTGTGACTCAAGATTATAGATTCTCCTCTTTAAATAAAGGTGGTCTTTTCACTTCGGTTTCTCATTCTTCTTTTCAATTTGGGTTTTAGAAAGTTTTATTCATTCTGGTACCTTAAAATGGAAAGTCCTGCTAATTATATATTTTATTTCTAAGAGCTAGAAATGTCCAGCCTGTTATTGTGAGCCTATTCATTTTTATTTTTCAGCCTATTATTGTCTTATGTATATGTTTTCCTCTCTAGTTACTCTAAGAACAATATACTTGACATAACTTATTTATTTTTCTTCCTTGTACTCAGCTGTGAGGTATTTTGTGATTTAAGTTTGGGGTTTCTCTGCCAACTTGTTCTTATTTTCTCAAAATATGATGATTCTTGGTATGATGTTCATTTTAAATCAGGGAATTTCTCTTTGCCTGAGGGAATGTGGATAGCCATTAAGGTTTCCTACCTTAGGTGACTGTGGAGATGTAGTGGAACAGGTGGTGGGCCAGGGTGCATGGAAAACTTAACATTTTCTATGTTTACATTCCTTTCCTACCTCATGGGAATCCTAATTCATCTGGAGCTTGGCCCAATTTTTATGATCCTGAACCCCTTCTGAGTGTCCCCAGTTTGAACTCCATTTCAAAGTCTAAATGAGCAAAAAATGAGAGTCCTTTTTTTCCTCTCTCTCTCTTTTTCCCATTCCATTCTGTCCTTTTAGTTGTTTGGAGCTACTTTAGATCTTGCTTTCTCCCAAATAGTATCTTAAAAAGTAATTCTGGGGATTTATATACTGGGGACAACTTCAGTTGCTGCCTGCTTCATGTGGACCAAGAGGAGAGGACTGTGGTTACTTTATTTCAGGCATGGTTAACCAGTTAATGAGCATGGCTCTGGCTCCCTTGAATTTTTCCACTCTGAGTTTCCATATCCTGGACATTGGTTTTGTCCTTTGTAGTTGTCTACTCCTGTATGCTCCAGGCTGTGGGTTTTTCTTAGCTATTATTTCTCTGTCAAACAATCTCATATACTTTCTTCTTTAAAGGCATATCAAAAACTTTGGTCAGATAATGGAACTTTTTTCATTTCTTTCTCTCTAAAGAGAAAAAAAACTATATATATATGTGTATACATATATATATATTTGCCTAAATATATTTAGGTAATAGATATGTATATAAAATCCACATATTTTTTCTTAAATATTTATTTATTTATATTAGATAGAGCAAGCCAGCACACATGAGCATGGGGGGCAGAGGCAGAGGGAGAGGGAGAGAATCTCAAGCAGATTCCATGCTGAGTGCAGAGCCAATGTGGGGCTCAATCTCAGTACCCTGAGATAATGACCTGAGTTGAAACCAAGAGTCAGTTGCTTAGCTGACTGTGCCACCCAGTCCCTCCTATGTATATGTTAAATACACATACATGAATTTACTTTTTAGTTATTTCAAAGAATAAGAGAGAGAGAGAGAAGTGTTATTATTGGCCATTTTAGGCTGGCTCATCTAAAGTACTCCTCATATAATTATTGCATTTCTACAAATTATTGAGTTCAAATGTATTTTTTTAACCAAGAATCATAAAATAGAATTATCTTGTTTTAATGGTCGCATGCTAACTTGCCCTAAACAGAATTATAAAGCTAACTCATCACAGCTAGGATTTGATAAATAGAAGATAGTAGTCTGAGCTAGTATTATTATTGTGATGCCCAAAGAGACATGCCTTCACATAATATTCCATAATACTAACTTTAAATTGTGTATGTTGTTTATTTTTAAAAAATCGACATATATATTGTTGCTTTCTATGGCTTTCTGTTATTGATTTCATGCTAGACTCAAATATTGAAGATTTTATACAGTCAGTGAAGCATCAAAATATACTTTTGGAAGTAGATGACTTTGCAAACAGAAATGGCACTGCAGACCTGTCATACAATGGAGCTATCATAGTTTCTGGTAAACAAAAGGTATGTTTGCCCCTTGTTTTTGCTTTCATGAAAAAAAAAACAACAACAAAATGCTATATTTTTAACTGTTTCAAATGACAGTTAACCCAACTAGTATACAGCCACTTGACTTAAAAACATGTGGGGTCATTACTGAATAATCTGTGAAGTTTAAAAAGCTTTTGTAAAACATTTTTAACCTTTACTTTGGAATTAGATGATTTTTATTGTGGAAAGTAGCTAAGTATAATTGTATTATTCAGATTCAATAAAATATTAGATTTTATAATTACAACCATGAATTGAAGGAATTTTATTCAATGCCTAACTACTCAAAAGATGTTTTTATATACAGATGACTCTGGAACAACATGGGTGTTAGGGGAGCCAAACCCCTGCATGTTGAAAATCTGCATATAAACTCTTAACTCCCTGAAAACTAACCTAAGCTCCTACTGTTGACTGGAAGCCTTACCAATAACATAACAGTCAATTAACACATATTTTGTGCATTCTATGTATTATATGACATATTTTTTCAATAGGGTAAGCTAGAAAAAAGACAATGTTATTAAAATCATAAGGAAGAGGGATCCGTGGGTGGCTCAGCGGTTTGGTGCCTGCCTTTGGCCCAGGGTGTGATCCTGGAGTGCCAGGATCAATTCCCACATCTGGCTCCCTGCATGGAGCCTGCTTCTCCCTCTGCCTGTGTCTCTGCCTCTCTCTCTCTCTCTCTCTCTCTCTGTGTGTGTGTGTGTGTCTCTCATGAATGAATAAATAAAATTTTAAAGAAAAATCATAAGGAAGAGAAAATACATTTATAGAATGGTACTATATTGGAAAAAATTCACATGTAAGTGAATGGTGTAGTTCAAAACCATGTTGTTCAAGGGTCAACTATATTGAGAATATACATAAAGTACTGTAAAAGCCACATGAAATCTATGAGAGAAAAGTGTTCTCAGCCTACTGTTAACCCGTTTCAATTTGGGTAAAAGAGTACAAGCAGTAAAGATTTTTCCTGGTACAAGACTATTGGAAAAATGTCCTAATTGTAAATAAAACTCCGAGTCTTATAGCCCAATGAAAAGCAGGGAGCCATATTAAATGAAGCTACCTCATTATTTCTTACTAAAAGGAAAATAAAAACAAAAACAAAAGTGTTGTAAGATATATCAGTTCTACCTGAACTGAGTGTATCATTAAAAAGTGCAATCTTACTCTGCTGTACACCTGATACTAATGTAGCATTGCGAGTCAACTATATTTCAATTAAAAGAAAAAGTAATCTCTTTGTGCCAACTGTGGGAAACTGCACTGCTTGGCCATCACTTTGTTACTTATTTACATGAACTATTAGAATATTTAAACCTTTTTGAGCTTCTTGATAATTGCATGAACATTTTCATACACACGAAGAATATAACCATTGTCTTAAAAAGTATAAAGATGACTCATAGGCAGTGTAACCATGAATATTTTATGCACCCTATGCTTATCTCCTATCCAGGAAATCCAGGTTCCTTTGCTCACTATAAACTGACAGGGCTACTTTTATATTCAGTTATTTGAGATTTCCTCATCAGCAAAATGAGGACAAAATAATCTAAAATTAATAATACTAAGAAACACTCCTATTGCTGACTATACCAATAATTTATTATCCCATTTCACAGACGAGGAAAAGGTCAATTAACTTGAGGATGGTCCCACAGCTAGAATGTGGCACTATTGAGATCTTAATATAAAACATTTTTCTTTATTCTTGAATGTTTTAGGATTAACATCATTTTATTTGTTTTTGTTTTATTCAAAGGATTACAGATTTTCAGTTCTGTGCAACACCTTGAGACTGCATTGCTTTCCTGTTCTCGTGAATATTGTTAGCAATGGGCTACTTCGAATGCTTAATGGTACACAAAATATTCAAATTGAGAGAAGTCCATATCCTTTTGTAAGTATTGGATTTACTCATTCTGAACAATTAATTTGGCAAGCAACCTATGTTTTCCCTTTTTAGCTTTTAAATATTTACAACTCATTGTTAATCCTAAAAAACTTTTTTGTTCTAACATTTTAAACATTATATCTAACAAAAAATGTTTTTTTCCCCTTGGTATTATCAGAGAATGCTCATGAGGGGAATACTTTTCAATATTATGTTATAGTCTAGGGATCCCTGGGTGGCGCAGCGGTTTGGCACCTGCCTTTGGCCCAGGGCGCGATCCTGGAGACCCGGGATCGAATCCCACATCGGGCTCCCGGTGCATGGAGCCTGCTTCTCCCTCTGCCTGTGTCTCTGCCTCTCTCTCTCTCTCTCTCACTGTGTGCCTATCATAAATAAATAAAAAATCCAAAAAAAATATTATGTTATAGTCTAGAGAATTTTCTGGGAAGATAGACTTGATTGCAGAAGTGTATCAGAGAGAGTGTGTGTGAGGGTGTGTGTGTGTGTGTGTACTGAATTGGGAATCAGGAACACTTGCAAAATAGCTTTAGAATCTTATAAGTCTGATATAATTTGTTGGTGGACCCTTCACTGACTAAATGAGTAGTAGATTGATTTGAAGGACAATATGCCAGTTCTTGGGCTCTATGCTTTCTGTTTATTTATTTTTTGTTTTTTAAATTATTTATTTTTTGATGCCTTCTGTTTTATTCCTTCACGTACTCAGACTTGTGTATTGCAGGGGTATCTGATGCACGCAGGCTGCATCTTCAGGGTTTTTGTCAACTGGCTACAGCCCGGATTTAGACAACAGGAAGCAGTAGTAGGAGGCAGGAGAGTGGGAGGATCCTGCTGCTTGGGCTCCAGGCACATTGCTTCCTTCCTTTGCCCCTCCAGCCCAAAAGTGACAGTGTCTTCTTGCTTCATCCTTGTTGGCTTCTCTGATCTTTCCACATATGTGATCCTTGCACGAGGATTTTCTTTCTAAGTACTGAAGGTAGCAATGGCTTTCTGGTTAGACCTTGATACTCAAGAGGGATCTCTTAAAGCTGACTCAAACTGTTTCAAACCAAGAGATGGAAGAGAGATAAATAAATAGGATTAGAAATGGAGCCATCAAAAAGGGAAGCCCATTTTGTGACAAAGGGGTTGAATTCGGTTTTGGCTTCACTGCATTTGTGGTGCTGGGGGTATGTGCAAGAGCGGATGGACAGATTATACATGAGCAGTCGGTGATGGACACATGCACCTATGAGTTGAAGCCACCACTGATCCTGAGAGCTGGGACAGGGTAAGGATAGAGGAGACTGAAGGAACTCTCCAGAAAGTAGAACCAACTGGCAGTAGGAAGACACAGATGATATCTTCTCTTGGTCCTTCAGTTTTCTCATGTCATTACTTGTTTACTCAGAACCAAAACAGACCAGGCCCTACAGTTCCTCTCTTATGTATCCCCAGTGGCACACACCTTTCTTCTCTCATCCATTCTTATGAAAATGGTAATGGATTTTCATACCTGGTGAAATATTCTAATTTATCATTGTAATCTCTAAAGCCTTCAGTAAAGCTTGAGAACTAAAGAATATTTTGAGACAGGCTACTACACTGCTGAATGTGCTTATATCCAAGAAGCAATCCTGTACCTAAGCCGAGACGCAGCCTCAGGCAGACACTGCTTTGGGGATGTTCAAAGTTCATCTCCTTGCCCGTGGTCTTGGTGGCATCAAATTTTCTTTTTCGCTCTGTTGCTTCAGAACACATTTGACTGGCTGCTGACATCTTCACATAACTATCACCGGGTGAGCAGCGAAAGGCATGCTACTTAGGCCTGAATGATCTATTTCTTCCAGATGGTAATTTCCAAATTATTATTTTTTGTATTGTGGCAAAAATATATAAAATTCACCATCATAACCATTTTAAGTATACAGGTTTTTTTAAGGATTTTATTTATTTATTTATTCATGAGAGACAGAGGGGGGGGGGGCAGAGATGCAGGCAGAGGGAGAAGCAGGCTCCATGCAGGGATCCTGATGCAGGACTTGATCCCAGGACTCCAGGATCGATCATGCCCAAGGCAGAAGGCAGGTGCTAAACCACTGAGCCACCCAGAGATCCCCTTAAGTATACAGTTGAGTAGTGTTAAGTTCATTCCCATTATTGTGAAACAGATCTCTCAAACTTTTTCATCTTGCAGAACTAAAACTTCATACCCATTAATAAGAATGCCCCATTGTCCCCTTCCCCAGGCCCTGGCAATTATCATTCTACTTTCTGTTTCTATTAATTTAACTATTTTTGATACCTTATATAAGGACAGTAATATAGTATTTTTTTTGTGACTGGCTTATTTCCCTTAGAATAGTGTCTTTGAAATTTATCCACATAGTGACAGGATTTCCTTCCTTTTAAAGACTGAATAATATTCCTCCATATGTATATACCATGTTTTGTTTATCTGTTCATCTGTTGGTGGACATCTGGGTTGCTTCCACCTCTTGGCTATTATGAATAGTGCTGCTATGAACCTGCATGGGAAGATATCTCTTTGAAACCCTGCTTTCAGTTCTTTTCAGTATACACGCTGAAGTGGGTCCTGAGTTTATTTGATTTCTCTTTTTTTTTCTAGGAGTTGAAGCCTCATGTTAAATGATCAGAAATAATTTCCCCTCTTACCTTCATACATTGATGTTGCTGGATTAAGGCGTACACTTTTTTATTTTATTTTATTTTTTAAAAATATTTTATTTATTTATTTATGGGAGATACAGAGAGACAGAACCGAAGACATAGGCAGAGGGAAAAGCAGGCTCCATGCAGGGAGCCCGATGTGGGACTCGATCCTGGGACTCCAGGATCATGCCCTGGGCCGAAGGCAGGTGCTCAACTGCTGAGCCACCCAGGTGTCCCAAGGCTTACACTTTCTTAAAGATTTTATTTATTTGAGACAGAGAGAGAGGAGGGTCTGAGGGAAAGGAAGAAGCAGACACCCCACTGAGCAGGGAGCCCGATGTGGGGCTTGATCCCAGAGATCATGACCTGAGCCAAAGGCAGACACTTAACTGATTGAGCCACCCGGTTGCCCCACGGTATATACTTTTATTTTGATTTTTCAATAGTTCAAAAAACACATTCTTTATGAGAACTACTATTTGTTTCCTTTTTTAATTTTAATTTTTTGTTAGTTTCAGAGGTAGAATTTAGTGATTTATCAGTTGCATATAACACCTAGTGCTCATCAAATGCCCTCCTTAATGCCCATCACCTAATTACCCCATCCCTTCACCGACTCCCCCTACCAGCAACTGCAGTTTTCTATAGTTAAGAACCTCTTTTGGTTTGCCTCCCTCTCTGTTTTCATCTTATTTTATTTATTATTTTATTTTTTCTTCCCTTCCCCTATGTTCATCTGTTTTGTTTCTTAAATTCTACATATGAGTGAAATCATATGGTATTCGTCTTTCTCTGATTTATTTCACTTAGCATAATACCCTTAGTTTCATCCACATCTGTGCAAATGGCAAAATTTCATTCTCTTTGATGACCAAATAGTATTCCATTGTATATATACCACATCCTCTTTATCCAGTCATTGTCAATGGACTTCTGGGCTCTTTCCATATTTTGGCTATTGTGGACATTGCTGCTATAAACATTGTGGTACATGTGCCCCTTCGAATCCTTTGGATAAACACCTAGTAGTACGATTCTTCGGTTGTAGGGGAGCTCTATTTTTTTTTTTTTGTATATGTTTTTTTTTTTTTTCTGGAGCTCGATTTGCCAACATATAGCATAACACCCAGTGCTCATCCTGTCAAGTGCTCCCCTCAGTGTCCATCACCTGGTCACCCCATCCCCCCGCCCACCTCCCTTTCCACTACCCCTTGTTCGTTTCCCAGAGTCAGGAGTCTCTCATGTTCTGTCTCCCTCTCTGATATTTCCCACTCATTTTCTCTCCTTTCCCCTTTATTTCCTTCCACTATTTTTTATGTTCCCTGAATGAATGAAACTATGTAATGCTTGTCTTTCTCCAATTGACTTACTTCACTCAGCATAATACCCTCCAGTTCCATCCACATTGAAGCAAATGGTGGGTATTTGTCGTTTCTAATGGCTGAGGAATATTCCATTGTATACATAGACCACATCTTCTTTATCCATTCATCTTTTGATGGACACCGAGGCTCCTTCCCCAGTTTGGCTATTGTGAACATTGCTGCTATAAACATTGGGGTGCAGGTGTCTCGGTTTTTCACTGCATCTGTATATTTGAGGTAAATCCCCAGCAGTGCAATTGCTGGGTCGTAGGGTAGCTCTATTTTTAACTCTTTGAGGAACCTCCACACAGTTTTCCAGAGTGACTGTACCAGTTCACATTCTCACCAACAGTGCAAGAGGGTTAGGGGAGCTGTATTTTAAATGGTAACTCCATACTGTCTTCCAGCGTGACTGCACCAGTTTGCATTCCCACCAGCAGTGTAAGAGGGTTCCCCTTTCTCCACAATCTCGCCAACATCTCTTGTTTCCTGAGTTGTTAATTTTAGCCATTCAGACCCATGTGAGGTGGTATCTCATTATGGTTTTGACTGTATTTCCCTGATGCTGAGTGATGTTGAGCATTTCTTTAATATTTATTTTTTGAGAGAGAGAGAGAGAGAGAGGCAGAGACATAGGCAGAGGGAGAAGAAGGCTCCATGCAGGGAACCCAATGTGGGACTCGATCCCGGATCCTGGGACTCCAGGATCATGTCCTGGGCCAAAGGCACATGCCAAACTGCTGAGCCATGCAGGGATCCTGATGTTGAGCATTTTTTCATTTTTTCATGTGTGTGTTGTAGGAAGAATTAATACTTATTCTTCTGAAACTGTTTCAAAACATAGAAATGGAAGGAAAACTTACAAACTCATTCTATGAGGCCAGCATTACCCTGATCCCAAAACCAGATAAAGACCCCACCAAAAAGGAGAATTGCAGACCAATATCCCTGATGAACATGGATGCAAAAATTCTCACCAAGATACTAGCTAATAGGATCCAACAGTACATTAAAAGGATTATTCTCTTTTGGTAATCCCACAACCAAGTGGGATTAATTCCTGGGCTGCAAAAGTGACTCAATATCCCCAAATCAATCAATGTGATACACCACATTAGTATTTGTTCCATTTTAAAAATATTCACAGGTTTAAAGTACCTTTTATATTTGCAGAATGATGAGATTTTCTCAACTGGGCTGCCGGAAGGTTTCACATTCTTATTTTGGATTGTGTGCAGCATTTCTCCTTACTTCTCCATGAGCAGTATCAGCGATTACAAAGTAAGAGAATGGGGGAAAAAGAGAAACTTCAAAGACTCCAGTAATTGTGCTTTAAATGCTATGTGTTCAAAATGTTTTCCTGTGAGAAAGGCCTATAAACATATGTTTAATTTAGACAGTACAGTTAAGCATTATTTCTATCAAGTCAGGAACTTTGCTTCTAATAACAGAAAATATTTTTACTTCAAAATTACAGGACAAATGCAGTTAATTTTACAGGAACTCAAATTAATCTAAACTTTTAGCCAGTACTATTATACAACTTTCAACTACATTATTTCCCAGTGAAAAGGAAAAAAAAAATCATTGACATTTACATTGAGGACCAGATTTAAGACTTAAATACCCTTTCTACTGTGGCAAATAAACTTTTTGGTTATGTTTGTATTTGATCATGTCTGTTATTCAAGGCAAAACAGTTAAATCAGATTTAGATTAAGTCATCCTTCACTATTCTGAGACAGTAACCCCTATAATATATTTGGATAATGAATAATTTATTGTCCTTTGGGCCACAGAATAATATCTTTTGAAGGAGGTTTATACCTTGATTATTATGAGGTTTGCTTTTCTAGTCATTATGCATGAGTTAAAGTGGTGCTGGAAATCAAACCTATAAAATAAAACAATACTCATTTTCACAATGGCCCCATTATGGAATTGGCTCTTTAGACTTCGAATACTAAATAGTATATTCATAATTGAATTATTAAATTATTTAAAATGATTTGAATATATCTGTCTTAAATTCTCTCTGAATATATTTGCTTTGGATTTGGATTTCAACTGAATTTATTTATTTCCTGTGTTTTCTCATCAGAAGAGAGCTAAGTCCCAGCTATGGATCTCAGGCCTCTATCCTTCTGCCTACTGGTTTGGGCAGGCACTGGTGGATATTAGCTTCTTTGGTTTTTTTCTCTTTTCAATGCTTTTATTTTTGTATATAGCAAGCTTAATGGAAATTTATATCACAAGCGGAATTGTGTTTGCTTTGGTAAGTAACACATTATACTGACAATATCTTAAATTTATGATAAATTATAACATTTGATATTTTCCATAAGCAAGACATTTTCATTTTTATTTTGTCATAAACTAAAACAAAAAAGTTCAAAGTGCATGTACAAAAAATTTTTAAAAGAATTTTATTTATTTGAGAGAGAGAGAAAGAAAGAGAGCACAAGTTGGGCGGGGGCAGAAAGAGAGGGAGAAGCAGACTCCCCACTGAGCAGGAGCCTGATGTGGGGCTCTAGCCCAAGACCCTGAGATCATGACTTGAGCCAGAATCAGACGCTTAAATGACTGAGCCACTTGGGCACCCCCGCAATAATATATTTAAAAATATTTGTAATTTAATTTTTCCTCTGTTAATATATCAGTGTTTGACCTTGATATAATCTGTATTATTTTCAGGTTATATTCATGCTCGGTTATGCAGCTTCACTTGTCTTCCTAACATACGTGATATCCTTTATTTTTCGCAAGACGAGAAAAAGTAGTGGCCTTTGGTCATTTTGCATCTATATTGTGAGTACATATATGAACATATGAACAAAGAGATAGAGGTCTTTTTTTAATCTTTCAGTGTAACATTACGTATAGTCACTTTTGCCTTGAGAAATGGGAAAAACTAATACCTTAAAATTACACCATAGAAAGGAGAACATTCATAGACAACCCTTTGACTAGGGTTTATGGAGAATCTTACAGAAGACTTGTAGTTCAAGATGCTGCTATTAAGTTTATGGATTCTTAAAAATACATGGCTTCCTGGTAACACTAGAATAAAAACTGGCTTTGTAACATTTGACGGGATAATCCATGTCTACAGTCTTAAAGAAATAATTTCAGATATTGAAGATGTTTTTATACATATGCCAGAGAATTTATTAGTAAATAGTAATGAAAGATTACTGAAAGTCCAAGATGGCTGAAAACTTGGATGGAAATGCACACCAAGACTCTAGAGACTCACAGTGCCTCATCCGAACACTGCAGGTGCCTTTTAGATGATATTCCCAACTAGTGGTCGAATGTCTGTCCTGCAAACACAGTTCTCAACTCTTGGAGTGGGAATCCTGAAACCATGAGAGAAACCCAACGGAAGGCCATTTGCTAAGAAAATATATCTGACATCACCTACTGATTTCTATAAAAATTAGATTTTTCTGGTCAGCAGGTAGCTGTTGATTTTTCCCTCTCAATGGACAGTATTCTGTCTCGACTCTTATAGATTGTATCTCTGTATTCAGCAGATAGTGTCTATAACCATCCATCTTACCATCATCAGGACAACCCAGTCCAAGTAGTTAAAAAAGAGGATTAGAGATACCTCACTTAGAAGACTGGCTTGAGGCAGTCATGAGGATTTAGTACACCAAAATCTTTCCATTAATACTCTGCATGGAAACTTTTTTGTTTGGTCAACAATCTTACTGCCTTTGCCTCGTGTAAACTCAGATGCTGGTAAAGATGTCAGTGAAAGAGAGTCTGGCTTAATGGTTGATTTCTTTGCAGTCAGCACTTTTGTATATGTCCAGCAAAGGTAAATGAGGAATTTGTACCCACACTTCATATTTTCTAGTAGTTTCAACTCTGGATGAAGTCTTTTTTGGAGTTGATATTCAAGCAATGTCAGGGTTATTGGCCAATATGGTTGTTGACAGGTCTGTTACTGCCAGCCTGAGCGAGGCTTAACATATCCTAGTGAGTACCCTCATGGGCACTCTAAGCTTACTGTTCGCCAGTGCTAAGTAATCAGCAACCTGGAGTCATGGCTCCTTTTCATTATGTCATTTCCCACTCCTTTGGTTGGCTCTCCTTAAGCAGAAACCATTCCAGACTGGAACAAATTCATGTCTACATGAATGTATTTTTGCTACGTGTCAAGTGAACAATCAGCTCCTGGTTTACCTTATATTCACTGTTCATCCTGGTTTGTATATAGATTTGACAGTCTCTCAGGTGAAGAGACACTCAACATTAACAGTAGAACCTCAAGCCCTTATCCTTCAGCTTTCATGAAGAAACAAAGCAGAAAAGAAAAAAACAACAGAGCAGAGATGAAACTTTTCTCATGGATGCAGTCTCTGTAGTGATGGTTTGGGTTGGAAAAACTGTTGACAGAATTTTCCCAGCCAAGTTCTAGGATTTCAAAGTGCTTCAGTTCAACAAAATATGAGTTCTTTCCAGAACTTGATATGCTGGAATCTGCCAGAACAATAGCTCTTATTGCTTGGCTTACAGAGCAGGGAAAATGTAAATGACTAAAGTCTTGTGAGGGCAGATTTCCTTCAATACATGGGAGAAGGCAAAATAGAATCTGCATTATAATAGATAGTCTTCTTAATTCTTCTTGCATAATTTTTTAGCTGAAAAGTATGAAGCTAAAAAAGTTTGACTTTGTTATTTCTTAAGGGAGGGCATAATAGTAAAACACCTGTTCTATGAGGTTTGTGGACTAATGTGAAGATTAAGATGTTCTCACTGTGATATGAACAAATTAGCAAATAAATGACTACAGCTGAGAATTGAACATGTAACTCTGAAACACTTTTTCAGATAGAAATATATCTATCTATGATTGGATGTCCTTTACCTTTGGTATCAACTATTTTTGAATTATTATGGACTAAAATAAGATGAGACACTATCCCAGAGGCAAAGTAAATTTTGAAAAATAAAGATATCTTTGTTTGAAATGTAAAAAGAAAATTATAGTGCTACAGTATAATACATGTTTATAATTTCTAATTATTTTCCCTTTTTTCATATATATATATCTATATCTATTTCGGTGTACTTGTCTATTACATGTTTGTACCATTGAAAAGCTACATACTTATGGAATATTGGAATGTCAGATTTGAAGAAAAATTCAACATCATCTGGTGTAATTCACTTCATTTTTTAGAGAGGAAAAAATTGAGTAACTTGTTCAAGGCCCCATAAAAATCAGTGACAACTCAAGAATAAAAATGAGGTCTCAGACCTTATGTCATTCCTGATGTCAAGAAATATGAAGTAGCAGGATGGTTGACAATAGTAATTTAAAGTTTGTGCTGATCAACATCTTGATTTTAAAAGCCTAAATTGTACATCATAATTGTACGTGTTCATGAAGAAGCAGTGTGCAATAATTTTATGCCTGATGCACAGAACTGTTAATTTCATTTAAAATGTGTGTTGAGGATGTGTAATGTGATAATTGATCTTTCATCATGCAGTTAGTATCAATTTAAACTATGCTAGTCTTAAGACTCACAGATATATATAAAAATAAAAATGTATCAGATGATGGTCAGTGCAGTTGTCCTTTGTGATCTTGGGTATATTTGGAAGGAAAGTATAGGCAAGGTCCCCTCATCATTGAGTGAAGCCACACTCAACTGTTAATTTGTTTCTAGAGTTCTGTGGACTCTCATAGTCCATGGGGTGTGGTCCTTCATGGGTATTTTAGGCCCTTGTCTAATAAGGACATACTTTTCAGTGCATGGTGGACGTATGGTAGCACATCTTCTTAGCACGCTGAGCCATAGCATATTTCCTTTGATGCAGTTTGCCATCCTTTCTTGTTCCAGGGGTAAGAAAGGAGGAAAAAACAACTCACAAAAGAAGAAACATGGAGGCCAGGTAGAATGATTGGAGTTAGCTAAGTGGACTAGTGGATTTATAGCTATCAAAAATTAGGAGATGGGAGAAAAAATAGATGAGTGTGATGTCATGGAAACCAAGAGGAGGGAACTATGTAAAGGTGGATAATCATGCAATACCTTTGCAGAGAGATTGTGGTGGTTGTAAAATGAGAAAAGATTTTTTGGATTTGCCATCTAAAATGCTTATTATACTTCCTGAACACTTGATTAAAAATTATTTGATTTCATTCCCAATTGTCTTTTATATGTAGTTTACACATTCCCCCCAAACTGTAAATTCACTTAGTAGCCACACAATCCCAAAGAACAAGATAGTCTTTGGACCTAAAGACTTAGGAATCACACACACATAGGGTTCTGAATTCCAACTTTATCATTCCCTAGCTGTGTGGTCTTGAGGATGTTATTTGTTTCTCTGAACCCTAGATTTCCCATGTGTAAGGAAGGGATAGTAAGAATGACTACATTCTCGAGTTGTGAAGATCAAAGCAAATGATGCATGCTAAATTCTTAATGCCTGGTGTTTGTGTAATATTCAGGGAATTTAGTAGTTACAATTCTTAGTGTTTTTATTATAAATCATACATCAATAAGATCCAGGAAAGGGTCAATACAAGCTCAACACACACTTGTTGGCTGAGAAACTGATCCTTAAAACAGAACAATGAAAAATTATCTTTATCCCCATCCCACATTTACCAGTGTTTTAAAAGAAAATAAGTCCATTGTAATCAAAATGCACGGTCTCAATAAAACTGTTTGAAATGGGGAAGAAATGGAGCAGGGATGCCGTTTAGAAAGCTTTAGTCTGGGTGGGGAGCAGTATGGACCTCTAAAAATAATCACTTGGATAGCTTTCCATCCTATACAGGTTTTTTACATTGTTACCATAATTTCTTTCTTTATCCTATTGTCTTAGATTGCACGCAATGCACTGTCAGGAAGCCTACCTGGTCACTTTAGCCTTTACCTTAATCTACAGATTTTTATCTTAAATTTTTCTGTTGGGTAGCTGAATGTCACATTTATTCTCATTAACAAAAACCACTCACTTCCCTTCTCATTCTGAAAGTAGTGAATCTGTATGTGGGAAAATTCTGATATATATAATGAGAACACTTACATCTTAAATATTTTTTCAAATATCAATGGAATCCATACGTCTGAATTGCAATATATTTTAACTTGCCTTGTAGACCTCCATCATCATATTTGACATTGTGCTGATGCACTTCGACTTGCCTGTCTTGATTTCTAGCATGATATTAGTTCCTTTCACTACCATGGGTGGATTTCTGGCTTTTTTGGCACAGGTAAGAAATATTACCAATGGTGTCATTAATTATGAATATGCAGCCTATTAAAGTGCTTCACCCCAAATCCATAAAGACAGAATGAAGGATAGTGGTTTCTTGGGGTTGGAGTGGGAATGAGAATTGACCGCAAATGCATATGAGGTATCTCTTTGGGATGATGGAAATGTTACTAAGTTAAATTGTGGTGATGCTCTCCTGACTCCGTAAACTTACTAGAAATCTTTTAATTCAATGCTTAAAATGAGTGAATTTTATGGCATGAAAAATTAACCTCAAGAAAGTTGTTTAAAAACTTTGCCATAGGGATCCCTGGGTGGTGCAGCGGTTTGGCGCCTGCCTTTGGCCCAGGGCGTGATCCTGGAGACCCGGGATCGAATCCTACGTCGGGCTCCTGGTGCATGGAGCCTGCTTCTCCCTCTGCCTATGTCTCTGCCTCTCTCTCTCTCTTTGTGTGTGACTATCATAAATAAATAAAAATTAAAAAAAACTTTGCCATATGCTCTATGCAAAACATAAACATTGTTAAATGCGATTTGAAACTAATGCCAGATTGAAAAATGTTGCCTCATTTTTTTTAAAGATTTTATTTATTTATTCGTGAGAGACACACAGAGAGAGAGAGATGCAGAGACACAGGCAGAGGGAGGAGCAGGCTCCATGCAGGGAGCCTGATGTGGGACTTGATTCCGGGTCTCCAGGATCACACTTTGGGCTGCAGGCAGTGCTAAACCGCTGCGCCACTGGGGCTGCCCAGTGTTGCCTCGTTTAATGGGTATTCATTATCCATCATGAGATAAAATCACATACAATTACATTTATTTATCCAAAAACATATATTAAACAGTATTCTGTGTTAGGCACTGTGCTGGTCACTGGGGACACCTGATGAACAAGATAGCACAGTCCATCCTTTCACAGGGCTTGGTGGAGATGAAGACAGACCTCAAATAAGTCAATGCAAAGGGTTTAAAGGACCCAAAGAAGAAGGGCAAAGTGCCAAGGGCAGGTTACAAAGCACAGCTAACAGGATCTAGAGAGTCAGAGAATTCTTCTGGGGGAAGCAATCCTTAAACAATCCTGAAGAATGAGTCAGAATCAGTTAGCAGGAGAATGGAGCAGAAGGTAAGTGTGTTCTGTGGAGGGAAGCAAAGGCATTGAAGCAGGAAGGACCATTCTTTCCATTTCCATTCGAATGGAAAGAAGTATCCAATGAGAAGAACCCAAGAGCTCAGCCAGACACATACTCTAACCCACATCATCCCGAGTGATACTTCAAAGAAAGTAGAGAAAACTGCCCTAATCTTTTGTGTTCTTGGGGACATGGGAAAGCCTTTTGTCTGCAAAAGCACTTTTCCATAAATTGAGCAACACTTAGAATTCTCAACTGGGAATTCATTCTTTTGCTTAAAGCATTTTTCCCCTAAGATAGAAACAGACCTGCAGAGGGAAGTACATTAACCTAGATCTGTCATACATTTCTTAGGAGGGATGAGTCACTCTCTGAATGCATTGACTGATGAAGAAAGAATAACATGATAGGACTAGTTATTATGGTGGGAGAGTCACCACCAGGGTAGGAGGGGGCCCTGAAAGGCCTCGTGAGGGGTATTTAGGACAAATATTGTGATTCCCTATTATTTTTCACACTGCAGGCTCCTCTCTCTGTTATATTTTCAGTCAACTTGAGGAAAACCTTAAACCAAAAGATTAAAGAAAAAAATTGGAAAAGTGGAACAGACATAAATTATTTGTTTACTGAGGGACAGCATTGAGTAGGGGGTCCCCTTTCTTCTCTGCAGGGAATTGTTTGTCACCAGTGCACATAGATGAGTCAAGCTTAAGGAGGGAAATATGCAATATGTGGAATTCCATATTATTTAAATGTAAATCATAAAGATGATGAATTTGTATTTAGCTATTTTTCTTTTTGTCTTTACAGAGAACTTATGAGCACCAACTAGAATATCTAAACCACAGATATGACCCAAGTGGAGTTGATTTTCTAGTATGCCTAATAGTAAGAAAGCCTTTCTACCTCTCCCTTTATTTTATTTTTTCATTTTTTTGATGGTTAGCATTTACTATAATAACTATTTGGCTTTGTCTGATGTATGCCAACTTTGAAAGCTTTTAATATAGTCTCAGGATAAGATACAGAATAAGACAATTCAGACATGAGTCCAAATCATGAGTTAGTTTTTATGTGCATAAGTGGACTGTGTAGATCCAGAAAGCAATATGAAATTAATTGTCATGTTCATTTATCTTGTTTATTGCCACCTGCAAATTTGAGAAAGCTTGTAAGAAATACAGATGCAATATAACTTAAATCCTTTGAATTGGAGATGAAAGGGGCAAAGTTGAATATTGAAATAAAAGGGGAAAGGTGATTATATTGGTATATTTAGGCTGAAGAAAGCTATTGTCTCTGAATACAATGTGTCACTACTTTTCTAGGCATAGGAGCAAATATGGACAGGAATCCCTGCCCCTATGGAGTTTATATCATGGTGAAAGGATAATAAACTAAGATAATAGATAATAAACTAAGTAAATAATATGTATCGTGTCAGATGGGTGGTCAGGAAAAGCCTGATTGAGAAATAAAGATCTGAAGGGGGCAAGGAGGAAAGCTACAGAGATAGCTTGGGGAAGAGGATTCCACTAGGAGAGGACACAAGTGACCTTGGCTTTTCCAGGGTCAGCTAGGAGGCCAGTGTAGTTGTGGCAGAGTGACCAAGGGAAGAAGTGGTACAAGGGAAGGTCACAGAAGTCACGGGGTAAAGTGCAAGGTGGATGGCATGGGCTACACAGAGCAGTCTGGGTCACTATAAAGTTATAAGGACTTTAACTTGTTTTTGAGTAACCGAGGAGTCATTGGAGGGTTTTAAGCAAACTACTATGATCAGACTTGTTTTAAAAAAGTAACTCTAGTGACTGTGTTGAGAATAGATGTTTGGGGCAAAGGAAGAAGAGGAAGGAGACCAGGTAGCAAGGTGTTGCAATATTCTAATGAGAAATTATGATGGCCTGGACCTGTCCAGCTGGATTTCTCCCCTAATTTGTAAGAATAGTTCACACGTATTTCACCTGACGACCAGGCCACCAATTTAATTCAGATGTTTAAGTGATATTTGTGAACTTATGCCTATATATAACTGTTTTTCTTTGCTCCTAGCCTTACTTGCAGGCTTTGATATTTGTTTTTATCCTAAGATGCATGGAAACAAAATGTGGAAAGAAAATAATGCGAAAGGATCCCATTTTCAGGTTGGGATAAAAACTTAGTTTCGAACTTAATATCGTATTTTCATGACCTGCACTACGGACCTGTTAATGTGGATTTATATTTACCACGTAAACAGCATGCTGATTTTCATGATGGTCAGTGGGTTGCTGGCTTACTGCTTGGAAATAGGACTCCCAGAACTCTGCCACTAACCAGCGGAGGGAGGTTTTTAGGTCCTCAGAAATTTAAGGAGTATTCAAATATGCCGATTTCCCATCTATGATGATCATACATCCTTGAACAGAGGAGACGCAATGGAATTGGTTGAGCAACCTAACGTAGTTCAGAGTGTTTCATAAGATGGACATTATACAGGGGCTCTAGGAAGGGTGAGCAGTAAAAGATGGTGAGGGCAGATGCCGGGTGTGATTAATTAAGATGGGCTCAGAGTCAACAGAGAAAATGTAGGTGACCTGCTTTTTAAAGAAGCAGCAGCCTCTGCTAGCAATTTGGCAAGGGTCAAAGATTCTAACTGGAAGAATGACAACAACAAGAAAGGATTTCTGGCGACAGGGACGGGAATTCTTGGGAGAAGCAGAAGCAGTATTCAAGGGCCATTATCATCACCCATGTATTGAGAAAAAGGATGATGGTGAAATCACAGAGAAGCTGATCTAGGGGACATCCTCAATAATGAAAAGACCCGTATGTCCTACATTTCATTTTCTCCACAGAATTTCCCCCCAAAGTGGAAGTGCTGGGCCTAATCCAGAAGAACCTGTTGATGAGGATGAAGATGTTAAAGCAGAAAGATTAAGAGCAGCAACTGCCCTGACTACTTCACAAGCAGATGAGGTAGGAAAGCAAGTGACAAAATGGACATTAAGGGACCTATAATTCAAGAACTATCAAGAAGCGAGGTTAATATGCTGGTTTTCATTTTGCAAGTTTGGAGCTTGGTGCATTTTCGTAATTCTTAAATATGTAGGCTCTCCTTTGGAGTGTCCTGGAAGCTCAAAGAAGAACAGAGAACATAATGGTTTTATCATTCTTTTGAGGAAAAAATGGGCTTTGATAAGTAGAGCTATAACTTCAAAACCAAGAATTTCATAAGTTGGAGAATTTATATGAGATTTGTTATAAAATGCTGAATAAGGATTGAGATTTGAAGGGTTATTCTTTTATCTGACTTAGATGTTATGATGTGCTCATGAGCTTAGATCATTCTGGGAAGGCCAGTTTCCATGAAGCTATACTCTTTTATTTAGAAGATAGATTTAGGAGATTTATTTTATTTTAATTCTTTTCATTAAAGATTTTATTCATTTATTCATGAGAGACAAACATACACAGAGAGGCAGAGGGAGAAGGAGGCTCCTCACAGGGAGCCTGATATGGGACTTGATCCTGGATCCCAGGATCACACCCTGAACCGAAGGCAGATGCTCAACTGCTGAGCCACCCAGGTGTCCCAGATTTAGGGGATTTAGAGATATTGTTGACATCAATGAATGCAGGTTACACTTGAAACAAGCAATATGGATTATTGTCAGTTTAAAATATCCTTTATTTTGGGCACCTGGGTGGCTCAGTCCTTTAAGTATCTGACTGTTGGTTTCAGCCCAGTCATTATCTCAGGGTTGTGAGATCAAGCCCCATGTCAGGCTCTGCATTCAGCATGGAATCTTCTTGAGATTCTCTCCCTCTCCCTCTGTCCCTCCCTGCCACGTGCTCTTTCTCTCTCTCTCAAAATAAATGAATGAGTCTTTTTTAAAAAATTGAAAAATGAAATTAAAATATACATTGTTTTATGACATAGAGTAAGAAAGTTCCCAGTCATGAGAATATAGGAACATAAAGTCTCTGAAGCTTAAAAGGAAAATCACACTGTCCTCTATTCCAGAAACCTGTCATAATTGCTAGCTGTCTACACAAAGAGTATGCAGGTCAGAAGAAAAGTTGCTTCTCAAAGAGGAAGAAGAAAATAGCAACAAGAAATCTCTCTCTCTGTGTTAAAAAAGGTTTGGAAGAATCATTTAATTTTATTCACCATCATTTCAGAAATACCTACTGAACATCTCTGTTGTAGGCACCATTGTGAAGCACCCATGTGTGCATTCATTCATTTAACATATTTGTGTGTGTGTGTGTGTGTGTGTGTGTGTGTGTATGTGTATGCCAGGGACTGCTTTGGGTTCTGGAATATAATCATCAAAAAAATAGGCAAGTCCCTGTCCTCATGGATTTTACATCCTGAGAGAGGGTCAAAACCCAACAATAACTTATCAATAAAATGGTCAGATATCACATAAGCAAGTTCTAAGTGGAGCATCCGAATATGTGAAATGACACAAATGATTCGGGGCGGCATTCACCTAGGGTTTGGGAAGACCTTTCTGGAGGAGTAACATTTAAGACAAGACCTGGGTGATGAGAAGGTGCCCAGATATGTGAGCACAAAGAGATAAGGACACCCAGACAGAGAAAAGAATGAGGGCAGAGACTCAGAGCTAGAGCTGCCTTTGGAATGGTCAAGGCACGAAGAAGCAATGGATGCACTGACAGGTAGAATGGAGGATGTCCAAGACCGGAGCAGGGCCAAATTGGGTACCACTTTGTGAAATAAAGCAAAAGGTTTAGATTTTTATACCAAATTAGTGGAATACCACCAGAGGGGTTTTAGTTAACTTTTTATTACCATTTACATTTTGGAAAAATTAACACATTGGCTATTGTTTGTAAATTTGAGTAGCGGACAAGAGGTTTTACATTAGTTCAGATAGAGGATGATGGTGGTTTGGATGCAGTAAGGGAATTTGGGATGAAGAAAATGTGTCTAACTTCCCAAGTTTAGGAACCACTTAAACATGTACTCAGCACATCAGCCATCTACTACCAAAAAGAATCTGGCACATTTTTAACTGAAAAAGTAATCTGGAAAAGACTTATTGACATCAAATCCATAAGCTTTTTGCTAATATTTCATATAAGAGTTAAAGAACATAGTCTGGTGACATGGGTTATATATATATATGTTATACATTTCAAAATAATACTGAGGGGTGTACATATCTCAAAAGATTTGAAGAAACAGGTTTATGATAATTCGCTTCCCAGGTTGATAATCAGTGAGTCTCTTTCAGGTGAAATTTTGGGATTGCTAGGACCCAATGGCGCTGGTAAAAGTTCATCTATTAGAATGATTTCTGGGATCACGAAGCCAACGGCTGGAGAGGTAGAAAGAAATGACAGAATGATTTTCATTCCTAAAATAGATATTTCATGATAAATGTAGCTTATATCTTTATGAAACTCTACTTTTAGTAAATTTTAAATAATTTTCTATAGTAAATATATGAGTCTCTATAATATTTATTGGTTTAGCTTTTAAATTTTTGTATATATATCTTTTTAATTAAAAAAGATTTTATTGGGATGCCTGCATAGCTCATGTACCTTATGAAGTTATGTTTTTAAACTGATCTTGGGAGACACCTGGGTGGCTCAGTGGTTGAGGGTCTGCCTTCGGCTCAGGGAGTGATCCTGTGTCTGGGGATCAAATCCCACATCGGGCTCCCTGCGAGGAACCTGCTTCTCCCTCTGCCTGTGTCTCTGCGTCTCTCTCTGTGTCTCTCATGAATAAATATAATTAAAATTAAAATTAAAAAATAAAACTTTTATTGAAGTACAATTAACATACAATGTTATATTAGTTTCGTGTGTACAAATAATAATTTCAATATTTCTCTCACTTGCACTGACATAGATTATAAAAGGTATAATACTAAGTGAAATAAGACAAAGACAAATACTATATGATTTCACTCATAACGTTTCTTTGATGCTCAAAAAATTTAGTTATCTATTAGCTCTATGTCAGTTTCTTAAGTGTGAGATTGGAGAAACGGCTACATGTGTTTCTAAAACTGGTTTACCAAAATAATAAAATAAAATAAAATAAAATAAAATAAAATAAAATAAAATAAAATAAAATAATAAAATAAAAATAAATATCAGAATAGAATAGAATAGAATAGAATAGAATAGAATAGAATAGAATAGAATAGAATAATAAAACTGGTTTACCTTCTTAGGTAGAACTGAAAGGATGTCGCTCGGGTTTGGGTCATCAGGGAGACAGCCTGGTCAACTTCCTGGGCTACTGTCCTCAGGAGAACGTGCTGTGGCCCAACCTGACAGTGAGGGAACATCTGGAGGTGTTCGCCGCCGTCAAAGGGCTGAGGAAAGGGGACGCCACCATGGCCATTTCACGGTAAAGAGGGGTCATGTGATTCCTTTGTGTCCAGAGGCAGGGAGGCTGTTCCACTGATGATGAGTTCACTAATAAAGAATGGAGGGTAGAAATGATATCTGCACCTTTTCAGGGAATGTCAGCAGTAGAGCAGGGATGCAGGGACAGGAGCTATTCCCTGTATCTTTGGTTGAGGGATCTTTAAAAAATAGTTGCACAGAAGAGTTGACAACATTAAATGAGTGAATAATCATTCATAATCATCCATTTCAGTTTCAAATTCAAAATTCTGGTTATTCCTTGGAACTCTTAATGAGATTAAAAATCTTTCATGTTCCAAAATAGTTTTCCTCTTTGATCGTTAGTTTCAGAATAATAGTGCCAACCTTCCCTCTAATGCAATCACTCTTCTGTGGGATTACATTTTCCGAAGATCCTCTCTTGAGTTGACATTCTACTCCTGTTTTCCATCAGATTGGTGGATTCTTTCAAACTGCATGACCAGCTCAATGTTCAGGCAAAGAAATTAACGGCAGGAGCCACCAGGAAGGTAGGTGTGATATGTGATGTTATTCTGAGAGCTGATGGTGTGGCAGCCAATAAGGTGCTTTTCTTGCCTTCCAGTTGTGTTTTGTGTTGAGCATCCTGGGAAATTCGCCTATCCTGCTTCTGGATGAACCATCAACAGGCATGGATCCAGCAGGGCAGCAGCAAATGTGGTGAGCCTTATCATAACCCTCAGAGCTGGGAGTATAAACTTCATGAAAAAGTTATGTCTTTAAACTGATCTTGGGAGACACCTGGGTGGCTCAGTGGTTGAGGGTCTGCCTTCAGCTCAGGTCATGATCCTGGGGTCCTGGGATCGAGTCTCACATCAGGTTCCCTGAGAGGATCCTGCTTCTCTTTCTGCCTATGTCTCTGCCTCTCTCTGTATGTCTTTTATGAATAAAAAATGAAATCTTAAAAAAAAAACTGATCTTGGATGGGGCACCAAGCTAGCTTGGTTGGTAGAGCATGCAACTCTTGATCTCATGGTTGTGAGTTCAAGACCCATGTGGAATATTTAGCTTACTTAATTTTTTTTCTTTAATTAAAAAAAAAAAAAAACAAAACCCAACCCTGATCTTGGAAAATCAAATCCACTCCTTTCTAATTTAGTGGAGATAATCCATATGATTAGGAAAATAAATATTTAATACATAGATTCTCTGATGTTGTATCATATTCATGTGGTATTAATGTTAACAAAAAAAAACAACCCTCTAAATATTTTGTTGGAATTTTAGGTCTTATGGTTTAGAGTTCAATTTTTTAAATTATTGAGATATATATAACTGTTTTTTTCAGAGGGTATTAATTTACACATTTTCCCTAATTCATTACTTTTCTCTACCCTTTACCAAATCTGTCAAATTTGCTTATCCAGTTTTTCTTAGTTTTTGAATTGTTTTTACTTTTCTTTCTAGAATGTTCCATTTGAATCAATAAAATCATCCAGTCCAACTTCATATTTGTGACTAATAGTTTCCCCTACATCTTTAAAGGACTTTGTTATGGAAATTTTATACAAATATAAAGAGAATCATTTAAGAACCCATTATAGCAATGACCTATTTCAACAATTATCCATATAAGGCACAATTTTTTTCATTATACCTCCATCCACTTCCTCTTCTCCACTCTCCTATTAGTTTGAAGCAAATACTAGGCACCCTACCCTTTATAAATATTTCAATTAGTTTCTTCAAAAGATAGAAAAGTTTTCTTTTTCAAAAACTTAATCAGAATACCACTAGTATACCTAAAAATATTAAACAGTTTTCTTTATGTTATTAAAAAAACCTAACAACTATTCACATTTCTGATCTTTTAGTTGGAAATATGATTTATAAATGTGATTCATGAACTGTATTTTACCTTTACAGTTTTCCCTCTATATCTCTTTTTTTCTACCCCCCTCTTGTTTTAGATTTTATTTATTTATTTGACAGAGAGAGAGAGAGAACACATAAGTAGGCAGAGTGGCAGGCAGAGGGAGAGGGAGAAGCAGACCTCCCCCTGAGCAGGGAGCCCGATATAGGACTCAGTCTCAAGACCCAGAGATCACAACCTGAGCCAAAGGCAGACGCTTAACCAACTGAGCCACCCAGGCATTCCTACCCTTTTCTCACCAGTGATTTTTTGGCTCATTTTAGGCAGACAATCCAGGCAGCCATTAAAAACACAGAGAAAGGGGCCCTCCTAACCACCCATTACCTGGCCGAAGTCGAGGCCATGTGTGACCGCATCGCTATCATGGTGTCTGGAAGGCTGAGGTGAGTGTCCTTCTGGAGTCTTTGCTTGACCCTCAAAGTGAAATTTCCTGTGGAAAGGGCACAATCACTGTGAGCACCTGGAGCCCTTCCTGTCAGCTCACTCAGGGATCCCCCTACCCCCACGTTTGAAATTTGAGAATAATGTAAAAAATTGAAGGGGCAATATTTTTTTCCAATGTGTTTTCCATCTTGCCCATAGGTGCATCGGCTCCACCCAACACCTGAAAAATAAACTTGGCAAGGACTACATTCTAGAACTGAAAGTGAAGGAAATGTCCCAAGTGACTTGGGTTCACAACGAGATTCTGAAGCTTTTCCCAGAGGCCGCACAGCAGGAAAGGTGAAGGACCTTCTGATTACAGAGAAACTTGTTGGCTTTACCCACTCAGAGGTTTCTTTAATGCTCTCTGAGAGCTTCAAAGTGATTTGACTTCATAATAAAAGTTAGGGACCTCTGAAACAGATTTACTGGCATTCAGATTACAGGAGATTTCGGAGCCACCCAGAAAGCTATGTCCCCCAGGAAGACTTGGGGACACCTCATCTGGGTCCCCTCAGCCATCCAAGGCTGATCTCCAGCTCAGAGCAGGTCTTGGAAAATTTGGGGGAAAGGAACTTCTCATGCCTGGAGCCCACATGGGACCACAGTTGGACCCTCCGTGGTACCCTCCACAGATCTCCTCTGGCTCTTCTTCTCTCTTAACCTCACATCTCCCTCTCCTTAGCTTTCTGGTGACAAGGATGCAATATTAAATTAAGTAATTAATTGCAGCCTAATTGAAACTAAGCAAAGGGATTAGTTTAGATGTCTGTGTTTAACAACAGCACAAGGTTTGCATAAACTGAGCACAAATGCAGTTATGCTGGATTATTTCTAGAAGTATCTCCAACAGCCAGCTGCCAAAGGATATTTTAAGAATTTTTCATCAGTCATTTTATTTGTTTTATATGTAAGCCGTACCTTTATTTGCATCAGTTTTATTTTCATCAAAGGAAATTGATGTTAATATCAGTATTTATTTTGATGGTCACTTTCTCCCCCTTGAAACTCAAGGTCAAATGTGACTTTTTCGTATTCCCAGGTATTCTTCCCTCTTGGTCTATAAACTGCCTTTGGCAGATGTCTACCCTCTATCTCAGGCCTTCCGCAAATTAGAGGCAGGTAAGAATTGCCATTGTAAAATAAAACTTTTGAAGAATTGGTTCAGAATTAGGTAATAATTTGGTGGTAGGTAATTGTGTAATACCTTTTTAAAATATGTAAACACTTTTTTAAAATATGTAAATTCTAAGAGGTTTTAAGAATTGTAATGGTAGGTAATGATGGGATTTAACCCCAACTGAGGTTAATCCAGTTCTCTGGAACAAGGTGTATCTCTGGGGCAGGGACTAGAGCTATAGAAAATACACAACTGAGCTTGGCTGGTTTTGCAGTAAATTCATAACATTAACCTCACAAAGCCCCTTAGTGGGGGCTACGTTGCCTGTGGGTGCACAACCCCTTCAGACCAAATGTCCTCAATTACCACTTTGCTCCTCTTTCCTTACACATCTGCCTTCTTCCTGCTTTTCTGCCTCAGTTGATGCCCTCGATTTTTATTTCACCAGTAAAATAAAAGCCACAGAAAACCTTCCACCCATGCATCGGCCTCCCTGCGTCCGAGCTGTGTGTTCTGCTTTCCTGCTGCAGTGAATGAACAGTCTGTGTCCCTCCCTGAGTCCATCCCCTGCATTGTGCATGACTCTTCCTGCCCCTCGAAATGATCTGTTTTTTTCTTTCCATCATCGTTTTTCTGCTTTCAACTGGGCCAATCCTAGCAGCAGACGGTCGTGGAGTATTTCTCACCTAGCACAGTGACGAAGGGCTCCAATTTCAGTGCCAGTCTCTCTACCAGCTGGGAGACCCTGGGTAAAGCTATTGAATCCCTGCTTATCTAAGTGACTCATCTTTAAATGAGGGGTAAGGGGATCCCTGGATGGCTCAATGGTTTAGCACCTGCCTTCAGCCCAGGGCATGATCCTAGAGTCCCAAGATCGAGACCCACGTCGGGCTCCCTGCATGGAGCCTGCTTCTCCCTCTGCCTCTCTCTCTCTCTCTCTCTCTCTCTCTCTCTCTCTCTCTCTCCGTGTGTCTCTCATGAATAAATAAATCTCTTAAAAAATGAATGAAGGGTAATGTCAGTGCCTACTTGGCAGGGTCATTAGGAAGATTACATAAATTCACTTGTAAAGTGTCTAACTATGATTCCCCAGTTGACTCCCTCCACTCTGGACACCCTGACTTCCTGTCTCTTCCTCAATGCTACCAGACATGTGTACTCCGGCTTCAGTACTTTGCACTTGCTGCTGATCCTTCTTCCTGAAATTCTACTACTTCTAGCTTGTTTTCAAGTTTCTGCTCAATTCTTACCTTATAACTGGAGCCAACCCCAACCATCCCGTTAAAAAAGAGTGGCTGGCACTTCCTGCTTTCTCTACCTGATTTATTTATCCTCTGTAGTAGCAATCCTCATTTATTTTATTATACATTTAAGTCCTTGTTTATTTAATGCCCATATGCCTGCCACTAGAATACAGAGTTTTATACACAAAGGCAGGGTTTTGTTTTTCACTGCTGCTCTGTTCCTGGTACCAAGCGTGTCACACACACAGGAGAGTCCCAATGTATGAGTGGTGAACTGTGAATATGGGAATCTGGTGACCAGTCTGATGAGGGTTTCCTGAGAGGGGCGCCTAGCATAGAATGCACGGTACAGCAGATAAACTGGCTGAAGACAGTTACACAGAAGCATGGGGTCCTTTCAAAGGGAGAGGAGTGGGATCGAAATCTTCCTTGTGTATAAGGATGTGTCAATCAATTCTGTAGTTCCTCAAGGAACTTATGTCTCCCAAGACACACGTACGAGGTAATAGAACATATCAAAATGTAATATGCGAAAATTCTCATATCAAGATTAATTTAATTTGCATTTATATCAACTATCACTTCATGATTCCCTTCTTTCACCAAGCTTTTGTTTATTCAGTCTTATATTCCATTTATATTAATAGTGGGCATTTTTATTTTGTATGACTTTGAGAAACCTCTTGGTAATAAATTGTAAGCATCTACTAGTAATCTTTTTTTTTCCCCCCCAGTGAAACATGACTTTAACCTAGAAGAGTACAGCCTCTCTCAGTGCACATTGGAAAAGGTGGGTCAGCTTTTAGGGTTTGTATCATTCCTGCTAATTTCACATGAAAATAACATGTGGGAGCATGCATTTTCCCAATAACATAAACAGTCAACTCAGTCAATTAAGTATCTACCTTCAGCTCTGCTCATATCCTAGGTCCTGGATTGAGCCCTGCTTCAGGCTCTCTGCTCAGTGGGGAGCCTGCTTCTCCCTCTCCTCTCTCTTCCCTTTGCTCCTTCCTCTGCCCCCTCATGCTCTCTCTCTCTCTCAAATAAATAAATAAAATCTTTAAAACAAAAAAAGAAAGAACATAACATGCATATTTCCTATTTATTTGGAAGACAATAAACGTGATAATTCTTTTTCCTTCTGCTTTGTCCCCTATTTAGATATTTCTAGAACTTTCTAAGGAGCAAGAGGTTGGAAATTTTGAAGAAGAAATTGATACAACCATGAGATGGGCACTCCTCTCTCCTTCAGATGACATTTAAAAGCTCAAACCTATTAATCCTTTGTGTCATATAAGCTTACGCCATATGTAATAATTGTCAGTATGTATAATTTTAAAAATCATTAACATCAATATCTGGTATATCTTGTGTATTTAGCTAACAAATGAATAAATGTAAAAATTATTCTCCTTAAATTTAGGAATGGTGGAAAATCTGTGGTAAAGGCAATTCAAAGTATTAATGAAGTTACCTGAAGGGCAGGTGCCAGGTATTGTGGAAATAAAGCCACAAACTTGGAATTTTTTTGAAATACAACTTCAAACATGGCATATCACTTTGAAATATGATATTTACTAAGAAATTCCCCAGCAGAAATATATGAGGGATATATTCAACAGCCAGAAGCTAGCGGGATTGCTACACACCAGTTTGGGAGGTATCAGTTTTACGAGTTTGTATTAAGACACAAGTAAAACGCAAGAATAGTCCTCTGGACCCTTTCCAGAAATTTGAAATTCACAGAGTGAGGAGTCCATTGGATTCACACATGAACAAGCGTGTGCATTGGAAAAGCAGTTCGAACATAATTTATGAAAATAAGGGGAGTCACAGCAGCATTTGTTCAAATTTTTAAGATTTTGAATGTGTTACATTATGATTGTGGGGGTACTGATTTTTCTCATCAGCTTTTCAGTAGTTTTCTGTGTACAGTTGACCCTCAAACAACACAGGAGTTAGGGTACCAAGCCCCCCCATGCAGTAAAAATCCCATATAACTTTTGACTCCCCCAAAACTTAACTACTAATAGCCTACTATTGACCAAGAAGTCTTCCCAGTAACATAGTCAATTAACACAGTTTGTATATGTATTATGTGCTGTGTTCTTACAATAAGTAAGCTAGAGAAGAGACAATGTAACTAAGAAAATCATAAGGAAAAAGTATATTTACTGTATGGTAAAAAATCCATGTCAGTGAACCTGTGCAGTTAAAATCCATACAGCTCAAGGGTCAGCTATATTTACTGCTATTTTAAAATCACTTCCCTCTTAAATATGTACATATGTCTATACACACATGCATAAATCATTTATATTACTAAATTTAAAAAATCTGCGTGAGCTTTAAATATAATTTTCCCCCTAAATAATAGTGATTTCATCTTGAATATCATGAGAAAATTTTTTGAAGACCAAACAGTATCCTTGATACCTTTTTTTTTTTTGGTGTTATGTTATATTACTTAAATTGTTATGCTCTTTGAAGAACATTTGTATAATGGAGAAAAACACAGAAATTAAATAAAATTGAATAAAAGAATCACCATACTTTCTCCACACCAAAAAAACAAAAACAAACAAACCAAAACAAAACAAAACACCAGCTTCTTTATCTTTAGTGTACTTTTTTATGTAGGTGGAATCACTATAGTATATAATTTCTTAACTATATATGCATATTTGCTGATATAACATTGAAATTGTTTTAATTGACTTTTAAACTTATGGTGAAGCTTCAGTTTTATATATTTGCATTTTATTCTGTGTTAAATATTTGTATTTCTTCATTTATTTTTGTGTTTTAATCTTTTTCTTATCCATTTTTCATATAATTATTTTATCTGCATATATTACATATGTCATAATTATATCTGGAACACTATGTCTCCAAATCAATGATAAATAATCAACAGCTTACTATTTGTTCAGGATGTTTTAGTGCCCTGTAAAAGCAAATTTCTATCATAATGAGAGTTGGATTGAAATTATTTCTAAAATTCAAGGAATAGATTCTCTTGTCTCTCTCAAATGTATAAGATCACAACATATATAACCATTTCACATAACAATATGATGAAATCTTTGCTTATATTCATTGTAAGTTGTAAATTTTCTTAACTGTTGTAGAAATATGTTTACAAAGTACTGAATAACCAATATCAGATATAGTATAAATATTTCAAAAGATCAAACTGGACATGGTTTGCTAAAACCATCATAATATGGTTATTTTTGAAAACTTGGGTTTTTATTAGGAATATGTTCAAGAGCAGATAAACAGGCATGAAAAAGGAAGGAGATTGGAATAAAACAAAAGAAAGGATTTTTTTTTCAAAAGGAAAAATAGTTTCATCATCTCTAACTCTACTGTAGACAGCCCCTGTGCTGGTTTTGTTCTTTATTTTCCTAGGGAGGCTGACCACTGTGGACTGCATCACCAATTCCCTGCTTTCATGGTTGGCTTCCAGTTGGGTCTGTCCAATCCAATAAGAAAAAGCAACAATAGATGCAAAGGTGGAAGAGGAGAGAGGTCAGAGGATCTCTTCCCTCCTGGCCTCATTTTAGTTTCAGATCTCAGGTGATAGATGTATCCTGCAGGCCTATAACATTTGCCCTCCTCCAGTTACATGCATGTGCTTCTGGTCCCTTTAACACTGTTGACCGCAGGAATGTCCTACTCTCAGCCTCCAGCAATTCATCAGAATTATCATTTAAGGTGTTTTTTTCCTACCAGTTTATGGCTCTGCTAGCTTCTGCACCAGGTAAGCTGGTCTTGGCTGCAATTCTCTGCATTCACTTGCATATATATATATATATATATATATATATATATATATATATATTCCTAACACAGAGCTCCTAAGACCCTTGGGATTTCTTGGGTGATAGAAGTATCTTTTGTCCTAATGAGATGACTCTGGTGGGCTCTGGGATTATCCCTGGTCACAGAAAGAGCAAGCCATGATTAGAAGCTTGGTACTTTCAACCCCACGGTGGGAGAAGTGTTGGGAACTGAGTTAATAATCAGTTATGCCTATTTGATGAAACTCCATAAAAATTCCAAAAATACTAGATTCAGAGAGCTTCCAAGTTGGTGGACACATCTATGTGCTTGGAAGGTGGTGGGTGCATCTCAATTCCAGCGTGAGTGAGGCTCCTGCGCTTGAACCCTTCTAGACCTTATTCTATGTATCTTTTCATCTGATTCTTTTATCAGTCATATTTTTCATTATATAATAAACCAGTAAACATATGTAGGTGTTCTCCTGAGGTCTGTAAGCTGTCCTAGCAAATTGTCAGATCCAAGGATAGGGTCATGGGAACCCCATTTACAGTTGGAAGTTCAAAAGTAGAGGAGACCTTATGGAACTTGTGATTGGCACCCGAAGTGGGAGGAGTCTAGTGAGACAGGGCTATTAACTGATGGGATCTGATGCTAATTCCAGACAGTGTCAGAACTAAATTAAATTGTTGGACACCCAGCTGGTGTTGGAGAATTGGTCAATATGGGGGGGAAAAAAACCCTACACATTTGGTGGCCAGAAGCAAACTATGAGAGCAAAGGAAAACACAAAGGAGAAAACAGTTTTTTCTAGACATTTGGTGTCAGTGAAGTGGAATTTGCGAGAACAGCTCTGGCTCATGAAAACACATGGTTTGGAAACAGAAAGAATGGAGGGCAGGGATGAGGAACCCTTGATTCCTGGATAGCTACCTAGTGACTCATAGTATCAAACTGTAGCTGCTCTTTGATCAGTTACTAACAGTACAAGCTACCAGTGGAATTAGAGATGAGAATAGACCCAAGTCCTGAGGAACTGGCTCACTGGATATCTATGGAAATGCAAAATATAAGCATGCTAAACACATAATCTCTCATGATCTCTTCTAAGTTGGGCCTCAATGCTGGAACAAGTTCAAATATGGGTCAATCTGAGCTTTGATCGCTAGCCTCAAAGCTGCTAAGAAAGGGGAAAACTATGCCAGGAAGGTACCTCTAATCATCCTCTGATCACCAAAAAGGTAGTCAGTGTGGTGGAAGGCAAAACCAAAAAACTACTAAAACCAGGAGCTATAGTGTGAAGGAGGTGTCTCATTTCGTGGATGGAATTATCAGCTTCCTGAGGAATCTTTATTAAAATGGACCATGAGAGTAACTGATTTGGGGGCTCTATCTTGTCTGGGATGTTGCAGAGTGGAAGGGCATGTTTGTTTGATACAGGATCTGCAGCCCACTTTTGAACAATCACAGATGGTTTCAGGTGATCCAGACACACAGAAGCTTATTCCTGAGGGATTTCTAATGGCCTGGATAAAGGCCACCATAAGTGTGCTCACCTGAGATGGAAGATTGCCCAACTCCCACTCTAATTGCCAACCAGAACACTTCAGTTGAAGCAGCTGATGCACTTTGCAGACAAGCTGTCGGTGTGCAATTGGCTTTATGGTGGGTGACTGGGGTATTCACCTACTGCATGTGCGTGTTACCGGGTTATGGTAAATGCCATGATTAAGGGGACCCCTATTACATGGGTACCCCATGTGACATTACTCACAAAATCCAAAACCTGGGAAGTTTTTATTAGAATTGCTGTCTTAGCTTCCCCATTGGGATCTTGTTGATACCAAGGTCACCAAAGTAATTAAAAAGAAAAAGGGAGAGACAGAACGGAGAATCAGGGGACTCCACCCAGCAGTGTGGACATCTTTAGGTGGTTATTACAAAAGGGATGAATGTGGTGAACATTGATGGTGTTGAAGCAAAGGTGTTGGTGCAGCATTATTGAAGCTTCTATGGACCAGTGAGACTGCCCATGGGTCCCCCAATGCTAGAAGGCCCCAGACAAGTTCTGTCCATTAACCCCACTTTGGAGGAATTTAAAAAAGCAGAGGGCAAAGATTTTGTGAGAAACGTCACCCAGAATTGCCTGGGGTATTGGGTAAACAGATTAATCAAAATAAATATTGAAAAGGAGAGGCCAGGGTCTTCTGGTCAAGCCTGGTGGGGACCCAAGGCCATAAAGCACATGTGTGGATAAGACTGTCAGGGAGAGGAAGGGGAGGAGAAACTTTTCTTTGGACTCCTTAATACAGGAGTCAGTGTGCTATGATTTGAAACCTGTTGGTGATATCTTAATGGTGGCATACTTTAGATCAGGAACATAGGGAGATTAAAAGGTTGATGGGATTAAAGTGAAATTTAAGATGAAAATGGGGACTTTTGAGCAAACTTTATGTGAGGTGGTTGGTTCTCCTTTACCTGGCTGCATTAACTAGGTGGGATATAATCCCACTAGCAATTACTTCCCCTACCTAATGCTATAAATAGAAGGCATGATGGCCAATCCTCAGGCCAGTCTTAACTGGACATGCTAAATGGGAACCACTAGAATTTCTCAAGTCTACACAGATGGTTAATTTAAAACGATGCAGATACCTGGTGGGCAAAGAGATTACCTCTTTAATTAGCAACATGTTAGATACTAGAGTGCTGATAGCAATGAATTCCCTCTATCACAGCCCTGTGTGGCCTGTGGAAAAGTCTTACAGCTCATGGAGACAAACAGTGGACCATTGAGGCTTAACTAAAGCTATACTGTCCAATACATCAGCAGTTCCAGACACAGTTTCAACCACCTACAAGCTACAACAGATGCCCAGTGATTTTTTTTTTCAAACGCTTTTTTCTGCATCTCAGTCTTGGAAGAGACCCAACCATAGTTCAGTTTCACATGTGAAGGATCCCAGTTCACATTTACTGTGCTGTCACAGGTCATCTAAATTCAGCAGCTTATGGTCATAATTTGGTCACGAGGGATTTGGACCTGATATAGGTCTCCAGGGTAATAATATACCACGTTAATGACATGATAATATTGGAAATTGAAGAGAAGGCTTGGGACTGATTTGAATGCAGTGATGACTCACAGACCCAACCAAGACTGGTTAAGAAATCCAGCAAAGGTCCAAGGACCTGCCCTAATGATAACATTTTTTGGAATAATCTGGGCAGGAGCCAACTGGGATATTCTACAAGTGATGGGTTTTTTCCTACTTCTAGGATGGAATAAGAAGCCCAGCATTTGTTTGCTTTATTTGGATTTGGGGGAATGCATATCCCACATCCGGGAATATTGCTAGCTCCTCGAAAGAAAGCCACATTTGAGTGGGGACCTACATAAAAGCATGATTCATCTGAATGATAAGAAGTGGTAAGTCTCTCAATGCCATTGGACTCCTATGATTCCAGATCTCAAGGCTGTGTTTGTTCTGAAGCCTCAATGAGTACAGGAAACATTATTGGTTTTCAGTTTTCTGAGCTGTTTCTTATTGTTAGAAGCAAGATGACTGTTAGAGGTAAAGAAAGTTAATTTTAAACCTTATTGGTTTAAATCTTAACATTTAAATTTGAATACCCGCCTGGGGCTTGTGGCTACCATATTGGATAATGTGTTTTAAAGTTAATCAGAATTTCTGTCCTCATCCTGAACAATGAGATTTCAAGGGGACTTAATTCTGCTTATCTATCCCTCTTCTCCCATATAATTGCTGTCTGATATTTTAGTCTCTATTG